GCCATCCCTGATTCACAACAACCACTCTCTCCTATAGGTTTCCTATTTTTGAAACTTCCGCCACCGCCTTGTGCGGTACTACTGGTACAATATTATATGCATATATAACTGGTTGGTGGTTGAGCCCTACCCCTCTGAAAAATATGAGTTCGTCAATTAGGATGATGACATTCCCAAGATATGGAAAAATAAAAAATAATCCGAACCACCAACCAGATAAATATACTATGACATACTTCAGGAGGAACAAAGTTTATGCTTCAAAGCTTTACAAAACATCCATCTCGGTCAACTGCGGAGCACATTTTCAAGTCCGTTTTGTGTGGCAGGTGTGGGACGGTCAATTGTCACCCTCTTTTAAATATATAAGATTTTAAAGCTTTTGGAGGGTGGAAATGCGACCGGGGTACGACAAAGCTCCATGCTAGGATTCTACGGGGAAAGGGTGTGCAGAAGAAGAAACCAAACATGTTCACTGTGGGAAGCTCAAGAAGCGCAACTTTTGTCCTACCAGTGTATATATATATATGATATCCTATGATATCCTATGATCTACTATGATATAATATAAACTACTATGATATACTATGATACAATATAGTGGTTAATTTTTCTTTTAAACAAAAAAATGTCAACCACGTGGTAAATACAACATTATACAACAACATCATGCATAATCAATTGTAGTATCAGTTATCAACATGCAAAAATAGCCTCTGGTAAACGTTTACATAGCTATGGAAAATCACCATGCTTTGAATGGAAAACTCACTATAAATATCAATTTTCAATAGCTATGTTAGTCATTACCAGAGGGTAGATGAAAATAATACAAGAAATCATCATAAAGGCCATCCCCCGGCTGACTTGGGCACACTTGGACCCTTAACCCCGGCCCAAAACAGCCATGGGACCTACCGGTGTCGAAGCCCGCGGCTCCTGGAGCCAATCTTCACCCGGAAACGATGGCTTTTCCCCATAAAATATGGAGGGGGTCCTATAAATGTGCCACCAATCCAATGAATTGTGTATATCAAGTGACATTATATATATATTCATTATGTTATGTTATGTATGTGTATATATATAATAGATATGCTATGTATATATATATATGTGTGTGTTGTATACATATATATATATATAGTCGATGTTTGATTGACACACATAGCTGTGACTAGCTGTGATGCGGCTGCCGGACATGCTGATGATCTCATGGGGTTACAACTGAGAATCTCGGCCACACCTCTCCGCTTCTGAACTGGCACTCATTGCAGGTTGACATATTTTTTGTGTCTGAAAATAGTGTACCCCTAAACCCAATGGTTAATGATCATTATCCCTATGAAATGGCTATAATTGGGATACCCTATTTTCAGACAAACTCATATGTTTGGGGGGTATGACTCCCCAATGAATCAACCGGGCTGCATTAATCTGGTTGACATTGTTCGAGTTCACCCGCTTTCTCCATACCAGTTTCAGTTTGCCTATTTGCGTATAGCTAGCATGAAGGATAGGTGGTTGCGGAAACATATCCAATGTCGCCTTACCAACCTTTACCAGGGTGGATTTGAATCCGACAATGCCTGACAGATGATGATGCCTAAGACACAGTCACCCCCTGTCGTACCCAGTTTACAGAGTTTCTGAACAAATAGGGCACAGGTGGGGCTTGGCCAGGTCACTCAAAAATGTCTGGGTGCTGTCTTCAGACTACAAATTCACGTTTTGCCACAGCAATTGAGGTGGGTAAACTAACACACACCCTTTGGCAAACAAATTCACTACTTCTAAAGCATGATCTTCAATGGGATTCAATTTAACCCTGAAGAGTTCGAATTTCAGTGACCGCCACATCTTCAACCCGTGCCTCGGGTGCTTTCTTGGGAGCGGAATGGCTAGGGGAACTGGCGGCTTTGGGTGAAGCAGCCTGCTTAGCCTGCCGTGGATCCAGTAGGGGCATAGCTGGGGATGTAGGAACTATATGGGGACATGAGAATACTTCACAATCCTGACGGCCCAAAGGGGCCGTTTAAGGAATTGATTCTTTTCAGTTTCAAGAAACAATAAACCATTACTGCAGGTTCACATCGTGGTGAAGTCTCTACAAGTGAGACATTGATTTATTTACCCGTGGGATCCCTTGGGTGAACATCGGTGAACCACAACATAGATGTGGTTTTAGTCTATAGTTTTCCTATCTACAAATGGTGGGTTCTCCACAAACCATGTTAGTCATTACCAGAGGCTATATCAACCATATCCATAGATTATCCATAGATTATCCATATATTATCCATATATTTCGCCATATCCATAGATTATCCATAGATTGTCCATATATTTCGCCATATCCATAGATTATCCATAGGAACAATATAATACATAATATAATATAGTATCCATAATTATCCATATCCATAGATTATCCATTGTCCATCGTTTGTCCACGCATGGGTTCTTAGGATATTTTACAAACTTTCCTTCTTAACCGCTGCGTTTACTGATGAAATTTTCCGAACCAAGACTTTCGATCCAAGGTCAGCAGCTCGGCAGATCCAACGTTACGGGTGGATTTGGATCAAAATTTTTTGAGTACCCGGCCTGGTAAACGTTTACAAAAAACTATGGAAAATCACCATTTTTCATGGGAAAACTATGGAAAATCACAATTTTTAATGGGAAAACTATGGAAAATCACTATTTTTTATGGGAAAACTATGGAAAGATCCACCATGCTATTAATGGGAAAATCCACGAACTAAATCACCATGTTCAATAGTTATGTTAGTTTACCAGAGAGTACTCAAAACATCTCTTGGTGTGATGCGGAAAATGGCCAACACATCCACGGAACCAAGGCTCGTCTTTAGCCCGAGGTTTTGTGTAGGCTTCCATGGTTGACATGTCACTGTAAACTTCACTCCTCCGACTGTCGCAAAATTCCTCATGATTCCATGTGATATTCTGTGGCCATTTGGAGGAATCATGCTACATCATGCTCACATCATGCCTACATCATCTTACTCACCATACTCTTGACAATCTAAGGACACAATTACTGGTTGGCGGTTGAGCCAACCACTCTGAAAAATATGAGTTCGTCAGTTGGGATGATGACATTCCCAATCTATGGAAAGTCATAAAAGCCATGTTCCAAACCACCAACCAGTGATTATTAACCATGATTAACTATAATCAACCATCATTACCCCATACTACACCAATGTTCCAAACCACCAACCAGTATATCATCAGTATACCAACCATGGTTCATAGGTATTAATGGTGATTAATGGTTCCAAACCACCAACCAGACTATGTCTTTTTCGTGACGGAAAAATGACCGGCCACGGCTCGTCCCATTTCGGCCCGCCTCAGCTCCTTTTTTCGGCCTTGGAGAAATGATGGGTGGCACAACGTGGCACGTTGCGTGGCACGCTTCCCACAAGTGGATTAAGTCACCCAGTCGTCACCTAAGTCATGTCAAGTCGTATAGATCGGCGAAAGAGTCTGAGTTCATGTTCAGGAGGATTGTTGAAAAAAATGTTCCCCATCAACAAGGTCTACCCAAAGTATGAGTCTATAGCCATTTCAAGGAGGACATGGTGCTGTGGTATCAACTTCGTCTTTCGCTGGAGATCATCGCGACTTCGGCAAGAACCACAGAATGCAACAAGAACTGAGACATGATGGGCATACGGGCTACGTAAGAATCAAACTGGATGAAATTTGGATGAATGCGGTGCCTGTTCTCACTTCTTGTTGCATTGCCTGCTTGCCGTGTGCGATTTTCAGGTGACAATTGAGTTCCTATGTTTTTTTTGTATAGGAATGGATCAACAAAACCTACAACAGGGTTGCTCCAAACACCCCAGATACAAGGATGGTAATTAGGGTAAATTTGTCAAGGTGAAATGACAAAATTACCCCCTTGTGGCTATCATTTACCTAGAATGAGTTGGAGAACCCTGTATGAAATACAAAAAGCAACTGGTGAGATTCACCCTTTTTTCACCAGCTGGGTGTGAACTTCATGGTGGGGTCTTGCTCCAAAACTTTAGAAAAAATGGTCGACATGAACCTCGCAGGATGGTTTAGAGAAGTCATTGTATCATCCCGGGGTGGGGCCCCACATTGACCATTTTCGAAGGAACATGAGCTGAAAAAACCCATGGGCCCATGGGATGCTGACCAAACAAGTACGAAGTCATACCGCGCTTGCACCGACCCAACTGATCACCCGGGTCACCCGGCCCAAAAAAAGACGAGATGTTGCCCACAGCAACGGGAGGAGAAGTCTTGGCCTGCAAGGCGTGCGCAATGCAGGACTCATGCAGATCCCGATGTTTGAGGATAGATCTATAGCACAACTCTTGAAATCCACAGGGAATTAATGAAATTGAAACGATGCAGAAAAATTCGGGATTTTGATAGGATTTCATGGGATATATGCCTTGTAAACATCTGAGATATTGGGAATAGATGTGGAAAACCCATTGGTTTTTCCCAAGCAACACTCTATAGATCATGGTAGTTTGTCCATATTTATGTCAATTGACAGTGCGGTTAGAAAAAATAAGGAAATATGGACAGAACAAGCAACAGATTGCAACGTATTGCAATCCCTGTCCAAAACATCTTTGCACGAGAATCAAGTCATCAACTGCAAAGTCTTGTGGAAATGACAGAACATCTAGTCTGTATTTGTTTAAAAAAATCGAAGCATTCTCTTCTGAAATTTCTGTTCAATCCTGTTGGCTTGCCCAATCTTAGCATAAATCAAGTTTAATCAATCCATCCTGTTGGTGGAAGCCCCAAATCATCCAGGTCAGAGAACGTTTGGCACAACGAGAAACACAGGGACTGGGACGCTACAAAATTGGGCTTCCTGGGGGCCTACCATTCGTCGCGGATCAATTTGTATCTCCCCACAGGCTTCTCTGTATGTCCAGCGTCAAGAAACACCGCCACTCTAGGGCTTTGGAAGCTGGGGTGTCTGTCGCCTTCATCACCGAAACGGCGATGAGTTTCATTCCGTGGCTTTGATCTCAGGCTGGCTAGTCCAAGGAGGATACCCGCTGACTCCATGCCGGTCTCTTTCCTGCTTCCATTTCGGGTAGGTCTGGTCCTCCAACCAAATCAGTTTCACACAACATTGCATAACCAGTTTCTAAAACTCCATGATGTTCCCAGTTGTCCAGGGTTTTTCCCCTCCTTCCCCCGCCTTCTTTGCCGGTGGCGCCATTTGCCACGTCTGCCACGGGAGTTTTTACAAGGTCCACAGGGTCTACTACCGCGGCCGTTGGCTGCGAGCCATGGAAACCCGAACGAAATGGGCCATGGCTTCCATGGCGATGTGAAACTACCAGAGGGTATGTAACCCAAAAAGGTAGAACAGGACCTAATGTCAACCCCGGATTAATAAACAATGGTTTATTAATTAGGGGGTACTCCTCCAATAGTCATAATTAATCAATTAATCTGATACTTAAATGATACGCTCCCAATTAAACAGCCTAGGGGTTTATTAATCCAGGGTTGACATTATAGGACTTGATTTGACCAAAGCCTATCTCATCTTCAGATATCTTCAGATCTTCAATCCCTCCCGCAGATTAGGGATTGAAGATTTGAGGCAAAAAAAACGGAATCTTCAATATCCAAAGAAAAAAATAAAAATCAGTGGATTTGGCCCAAACAACCTGATAGATCCTCATTTTTTTGCACGCACATGTTGAGAAATCCGTCTATGGTGGATTTGTCACGATAAAAAAATAAAATCGACCCTGAGACCTGGGTTGGAAGTTGGGCATCGCCTTCCCCATGGTTATAGCTGTAAGTGAAGCTGCCCTTGAAAAAAGAATTTATAGTGGTTTATCCTCAAATTGTCCCAGTCCTATTGTATTAGTTATATATATATACATATTATTTTATCATTAAATATAAATTTTATATATAATTGCATGTTTTGGTGACATTATGAGGTTTCACCACGATTTTTTTCGCAAGACATTGCTTGCGTTACAACGCGGATCAAAGCCACCACTTTCTGGATATCAAAATTCCAATTGTATCCATTTGTGCTAGGGTCAAAACATGGTATATGGGTTTTAGCCATCCATCTTATATTTGAAATCCTTATCATGGGTGTAAAAAAAAACCTATTACCTTCTGGTTATGACTAACAGTTCGCCATGGGATAGCTGGCCCTAATCAAAATAGATGTTTTACCTATTCAAATTGATGATTTTCCATAGTTTACCTATTATAAATGATGATTTTCCATAATTTTCGTATTAAAAATGGTGATTGTCCCATTCAAAATTGTGATTTTCCATGGCAAACTGTGAATGTCATAACCAGATGATAAATGGATTAATATGGATTACCATCCCCCAAGGACTGGGCATCCAACTCTTGACTCCCTGGCCGCAGATCCCACTGGTTATTGCTCCCCGGTCAGCATTGGTTACCCTCCGGCAAACGTTTATATAACGAACTGGAAAATCACCATTTTGTATGGGTAGTTCAACTATAAATGGCAATTTTCAATAGCTATGTTAGTTTACCAGAGGGTATCTTTTGGCGAAACGGCATCGGAACACAGTTCATGCTGCCCCAGCAATGACCCAAACCTCGGAGGCGACCGAAGCTGAGACTGGTGAAATCATCCAAAATCAGTTTAAAATCCAACGAACAAGTGGAGTATGTCATGCAACAAGAAAAAGTGGCTTAGATCATGCTTGATTACTGGAGGGTAACCCCGCGAAAAAACCAGGCCAAGTAACACCAGTAAGTATTGACTATAATATAATGTGTTTCATATTTGCGTTAATGTTACCCTCTGGTTATAATGACCCATTTGTAGATGATGTACCTTTTCAAAGTGATGATGTTCCATGGCTATGTTAAATAACCAAAGGGTAATATCTATAGCATTGAACTACCTTTTAACCCACAACCAACCATGATCCTACTAGGTCTTTCATGGTTGCTCATGGTGAAACCGATTATTCTTCCATCTGCCACCATGGTGGAAGCCACCAATATCCTTCAACATCCTCCGGCCATTTGTTACATTAGTTATCATCTATTTTATCCCAGAAAATCTCTTCGAAACCTTCGAAAATCAAGGAAAATCATCATGTTCTCCATATATTTCTGGGTCAAACCGCCACTTTTTTACTCTGCTGCTCTTGATTGAGCGTTATTATCTATTGTTTGTTCATGGTTTTTCCATGGTTGAAGTTACTAAAAAAAATCCATATGCTTTCATGGTTCAATCGTTAAAGCCACATCCAACAGCCGACAATACCAATAGATAAGTCATGGTTATTGGATGTGATTGGTCAATCAATACCACCATCTTCCCATAACATAATATCATATAGTATCCATTTCCATTAACATCCTATTGGTACCCAAAAATCCAATGGTTTATGATCATTATTCCCGTTTAAAAGGACTATTTTGGGCTATACAGGTACCCCATTTTCAGACACACCCATACCATATAGTACCTATCAAAAAGCATTTACATATAGTACCAGTAGTACCGCACAAGGCGGTGGCGGAAGTTTCAAAAATAGGAAACCTATAGGAGAGATTGGTTGTTGTGAATCACGGATGGCAGAGCGAATCCACTGATGGACCGAAAGGTGGTTGGAGCTGTGTTTTTTGGAGTGGCTGCAATGGTTGCAGTGGTCACCTGGTCGGTCACCTCACCCACATCTGCTGGATGTACTGTAGCTGCAGTTGCAGCTGTAGTTGTAGCTGTAGTGTAGTGGTGTTGTAGTTGTGGTGTAGTAGTGTAGTTGCAGTTGCATGTGTGGTGGTGTAATGAGTGTACTGTAATGCAACAAGGTGGTGCCCCATAGCTAGCTAAGTTGGTTTATAAGTCCAATAACTAGGGTTTATGGGGGTTATATCTATAGTTAATGGGGATTGTAAACCAACTTATAACTATGGGGGCACCACCTTGAATGTAATGTAATGCAATGTGGGGTAGGGTAGTGTAGTGTAGTGTAATTGAATGTAGTGTGGTGTGGTGTGGTGTGGTGTAGTGTAGTGTAGTGTAGTGTAGTGTAGCGTATTGTGGTGTAATGTAGTTAGTGTAGATAGTGTAGTGAAATTGCAGTTGCAGTTGTACTAGTAGTTGTAGTGTAGCGCAATGTTATGTAATGTATTGTAGTTGTAGGTGTAGCTGTAGTTGTAGTTAGTGTAGTGTAGTGTAGTGTAGTGTAGTGTAGTGTAGTGTAGTGTAGTATAGTGTAGTGTAGTGTAGTGTAGTGTAGCGTAGTGTAGTGTAGTGTCGCGTGGTGTAGTGTGATGTAGTGTAGTGCAATTGAGTGTAGTGTACTGTAGTGTATTGGAGTGTATTGTGGTGAGGTGAGGTGTAGTGTAGTGAAGTGGGGTGTAGTGCAGTGTAGTACAGTGCAGTGTAGTGTGATGTAATTAGTGTACTGTATTGTAGTCTTATGTAGTGGTAGATGTAGTTAGTGTGATGTAGTGTAATGTAGTGGAGTGTAGTGTATGTAATGTAGTGTAGTTGCAGTTGCAGTTGCAGTTGTAGTTGTAGGTGTAGTGCAGCGTCATTCAGCATAATGTAGTGGAATGTAGTGTAGTGTAGTGGAGTGGAGTGGAGTGTAGTGTAATCAGTGTAGTGTAATTAGTGTAGTGTAGTGTAGTGTAGTGTAAATGTAGAACTGTTGTAGTTGTAGTCGTAGTTGTAGTGTAGTGGAGTGTAGTGTAGTGTAGTGGAATGTAGTGTCGTGTGGTGTAATGTAATGTAGTGCAGTGTCATTGAATGTAGTGTAGTGGAGTGTAGTGGAATGTAGTGTAGTGTAGTGTAGTGGAGTGTAGTGGAATGTAGTGTAGTGTAGTGGAGTGTAGTGTAGTGTAATGTAGTGTAGTGTAGTGGAATGTAGTGTAGTGTCATTGAATGTAGTGTAGTGGAGTGTAGTGGAATGTAGTGTAGTGTAGTGTAGTGTAGTGTAGTGTAGTGTAGTGTAGTACCGAGACCTACGGCAAGACATGATCGAGGAACTTTAGACACGACTACAGCACAGCACCTCCATCGGCATCAACTTGAAGGCAGCGGCCCAGGCAAATTCACCAGACTCCGGTCGTCGGGCTAGGTTGGTGCGTTCCTCTTTCTCGCTCAAACAGCCCAAGCGCCAAGGACTCCTGCGATCATCTTGCAGGGTGACAAGAGTCTGCTCCACGGCTTCGATGAAGTTACGCCCTGCTCTTCCCTTTCGCAACGGCTCCTCCGCTTTGCGGAGCACACTTGCCACGTCATGCTTCCAAGCCACAACGGCTCTATGTTGTCTCCATGCCTCCGTCGCCCACCTTGCAGTTCTGTTCATGTTCCGGACATGGTCCAGCCACCAGGTCCGCTCGACTGCAATAGTTCCCAATGACATTGCATGAGGACCCCAGATATCCATCAAGAAGGCTTTCAAATCCTTAGGGTGAGCAAAGAATGCAACCAAGCAAGCCTCTAGACCTAGCATTTTGAGCTGTTGTCCAGGCACAAGCCCATGAGTGCCAAACGCAAAATCTATAGCCAAAAATGCATAATAAAAATGCATACTTGAAGGCTGCCAATGTCAGAAACGCATATTTTCAAAACTTTCCACAAGGGGTTCAATTTTTGCTTATTACTCTAGATGCCTTTAGGCCACCGTAAACACCCGCCAACTGCGCAGCCAGAATATCCCCGAAATGCAAGTCACAAAATTGACCAAGCGTTTTTTGCACACAAAAAAACATTCAGACTGCTTGCTTTCAAGCATGGTATACACTATACGTGTTCAACGACACGTGAAGATGCCCCCGAAACTTGCAATCGCATCCTGCACCCTGCCATACTGAGTTGTCTCTGCCCACAGTTGGTCCCAGGAGCCTAGTCAGAACCCCCTAAGTCTGGATAACTGAGACCATGGAGATCCATTTTCTTTTAGTTTTCCAGAATATGGAACATTTGGCTCAAGTTGAGACTGCAAAGTGAGTATTAGAATCTCTTGCCAAACTTGTTGAGTGACATTCAAATGGCACAGAGAAAAACAAGTAGAGAAAAATCACCACAGGACAGCTTTTGGGCAGACCGTGCAGATCAGGAAAGTTGGCCTGCCAGAATCCATTACGCATTTTTGAATGGCCGTAAAAAAATCACGCAAAAAAATATGCATTTTCAATATGCATTTTTGATGGCTCCAAGATTTTCCAAAAATATGCATTTTTCCATGGGAAAATGCCTATGCGTATATTTTTTGGGCTGGCTGCAGAAAACGCTTACTTCCTCGATTGTCCAAATCAACATTTCACTGAATTATGCATTTTTGATGGTTCCAAGGCTTTCCAGAAATATGCATTTTTCCAGCGGAAAATGCATTTTTTTGCTTTTTGGCTAACTGCAGACAATGCATATTTCATATTTCGTTGATCTTGTTCAAACCAAGGTTTTCATGGAACTACGCATTTTTGATGGTTCCAAGATTTTCCCAAAATAAGTATTTTTTCCATGGGAAAATGCATATGTTTGCTTTTCGGCTGGCTGCAGAACTGGGAACCTCTTTGGCCTCCGTCACCAGCTTTAAAAACAAGGGTGAAAACGCCCGACCATTGAAGCTTGCCAGTGTGGCCGCAACAGCACACAGGGTATCCGCGTCTTGACTAACGTGGGCCAACACTTCCAAGCACCGCAATGTCTGCGGATCTGAATCCTCGGAATTGATCTTTGCGTGCTGCAGCAATGATTTGGCAGACGACCGGCAAAGCACCGCAGACTTCTCTGTCCAGCTCGCATCATAAGAAATCTTTTTGAACCGGACCTCTAGCAACAACTGATCCACAGCACTGTAAAACTCCATCTGCTGCTTCCGTGTCCGCTTCTCTGCCGACACCGCTCGCCGAGCCACGAGCACACCCGAGGCCTTGCAGGCCTTCGATACGATAAGCCATGGCAAGCAACGCCCTACGGCCAAACTCTCAGTTATGCACAGTACAAATGCTCAAGCATCACCTTGCATGTCAATATGTATGTATGAAACCATGGATATAACCTAATACCTTGCGTTGACATAACTAGAAATCCTATCTACGACTATCTATGGCTATCTACGAATATCTATGCCTATCTATGCCTACCTACCATTATATATAACTACCTACGACTATCTACGATTCTCTAGGACTATCTGCAATTCTCTATGACTATCTATGCTTCTCTCCGATTATCCATGATCATCTACGCCTATCTACGATTATCAAATACTATCTATGACTTCCTACTCTTATCTGTGATTATCTATGGGTGGTTATGACCGAAAACTATCCACGACGATCTACGATCCCCTATCCGTGATGGTTTATACTCATGATTATCAATGCTGATCCATGATTGTCTCTTCATCTTCTGGCAAAGATGATCCAAAACAGCAACCAATGTGACAGATCATAAACTGCAAAGTCTGCACTTGCCACATGCGCCTAGCTTCATGCATTACATAGACTCTGTACATATCATGTATAGGCGTTGTCAATCTAACTCCATATACCATCAAGAATCCTGGATTTTACACCCTGCCACCAACTGCAAAAGGGTGGGAGGTGACATCGTCACTTGTTGCATTCGAGTGTTGATGCAGTGAAAACTCCTGTTGTTCTATTGCAGCCGCGTCATATCTACAGATAAGATCCCAACGTCCAACATAACGTGAGGGAAACTCCTGTTGTTCGATTGCAGCCGCGTCATGTCTACCTATAGGGTGCCAACAGCCAACAATAACACTTCTCCGCCATACCCCGACCTTCCAAATCATCCAGGGCGGGACAAGGGAGTGGGCTTCTCCAAGCTTGGCGTGTCTGCGATGGGCCCAGGAGCCACGCAGTTGCAGCCGATGCCAAATTCGCCCCATTCCAAGTCCAAATTTCCTGGAGACTGGTCATGTCAACTTGCCATGTCAACTGATCATGTTAACCTGTCATGTCATCTCATTTTAATTGAAAAATGGCACCAAAATGCACCAAATCGATCCAAATGACCGTTACAGGTTTTGACGGCATTCAAACGTCTCATTCAATGTCATGAAGGTGTCACTCTGGCTATATCAAAATGTCCTGCCATACCACCTTTCCATAAACTTCCCCTAGAAATTCGTCCGCCTGGTCATTGGATGGGTCTTCAAATCTCATAGTCTGAGTGTAGTTCATGCTGAAGTTCCTACAGTAGCTAGCTGGTTCCCACTTGGAAATCCACTCTTGGCATACACTGTTGGATGGACAATCTGGCGGACGCGCTTGAAACGACAATCCTGGAAGGACTCTCCTGAAGACACTCTTGGCTGGTTGATTGTATTGATTAGATTGCAAAATATAGCGCCAAAAAGACATGCCCGTTTTTGTCGAAAATTATGAGGGTCTTTTTGGCCCCACTTGGAAATCCAATCTTGGCATGCACTGTTGGATGGACAATCTTGGAAGACACTCTTGAAACGACAATCCTGGAAGAACCCTGCTGGAAGACACTCTTGGCTGGTCGATTGTATTAATTAGATGCAAAATATAGCGCCAAACAAAAATATGATGGTCTTTTTTTACCTGCAATTACACGGGACTCCATCATGTGCCTGGCCACTCACTGTTGAAGAGAGCCGCAAGTGCGTCTGGCGGTAGGCGACTTCCCAAAGGAAAATGGGACCATGAAGAAGTGTTGATCTATGTATGTTGATTGTAGATCTAATGTTGACTACAGTTGACTGAAACCTGCTCTTTTGATCTATGTTGGCTTATTTTTTTCCAGTCACAACATACTGAGTTGGCATGAGAAAAGCATCACTCCATCAGCGCCATCGCACCTGCAATTCCATAAGTAGTCGCCTGCCGCGGGCGCCAGTGATTACGCCCGGGGGGTTGCAATTAAAACCAATTATATTAGAGATCGAAGAGGGACAAATTCCACTAAGATCATTATAGGCATCAATTGTCTGAATCTTGTAGCTATATTCATGTACATGCCGTACACATCTCACAAAATTGCGAACACACCATGTGCAGACGCACTGTGGGAATGTGGTTGCTTCGAATGCGGATCGTTGACCCCTTTCATCACAGCACCGAAAGACAATCTCACCAACCATCCGAACCTATCGGTATCCTCACTATATAATCACTATCCGATCCTTGTGAAACTTCAACCGCTTCAACCCTAGTAGTTAAACCCTATTGAGCCCGGTGGAGGCAAGTTGGTGCGGGTACCGATACAAACACTCCACATAATTGTCGTAACGGAGCAACAATGCAAACCTTTATTTGCATACATGACGCTTGGATGAAGCCGGCAGCGACCTCTGCCAAGACCACGACCACAACGGCTAATCCCCAACCCTAGTGCCCTGTTCTTCTCAGGCTGGCACCGAGGTTTTTAAAAACGGAGTGACGACTTCTGCACAGGCAACCACAGTCGCCCGACCATGCCATCACCAAGCTTAAGACAATCACCAGGCTCCGGCCATGACACCACCTGGTTTACACCATGACAAGATCATCTTCATGTTACCATCCATCACAGCCTGACCTGATGAAGTCCCTCGCAATCATAAAAATCATCCTGTACAAGACCAGCATCAAACGGCCCGAACTATGCTGCCATCAAACAACTCCAGCAATGACTGAGACTGCTTCTTGTGTTCGCTGACACCACAGCCCATAGCACATTGCCACGATGCTGCTCTTCTCATCCCTCTCGCTTGGCACCTGTGCCCGTGTCCTCATCCGATTGATCCGTCGCATCTGGCATCTGCATGAAATGCAAATTCCGTTGATTTTGTCGAAATCGGGGCATGTATTTTACGAAAAGGTGAAAATATGCATTTTCCCATGGAAGAATGCATATTTCTGGAAAGTCTTGGAACCATCAAAAATGCATAAATCCACGAAAACCTTGGTTTGGACAAAATCAACGAAATATGAAATATGCATTTTCTGCAGCTAGCCGAAAAGCAAAAAAAATCTGCATTTTCTGACGGAAAAATGCATATTTCTGGAAAGTCTTGGAACCATCAAAAATGCATAATTCAGTGAAATGTGGCTTTTCCCCTTTTCCCAACCGAGCTCGACTCGCACCTCTGTTCCAAGGATTCAACCCATGGAAAACTGCGGTCAACTACATACCCACTGCATGCATCTGTTCCTGGATAACCGATCAGAAGGGAGTATCGAATAAAGGAGTAGCCTGGGCCAGCTCATGAACATGAGCAATGCAACTGTTAAGCTAGGAATGTTCCCCTGAGTTGCCTTGAGGTTGTTTGCGGCTGCTGTTCAACCATTTGAAAGCCGCCATGTGCCCTCCCCGCCTGTTTGAACAGCGTCAACGAAGGGGGCTCTGTCTTTTGTTCCTTCTCCGACCTTTTGTTTCAAACACGACATGTTCTAAATTCTACAGACCATGTGAACATTGATGCAGCAACAGAAACTGCTACCACACGGAGCTCTGCGCCAAAGCCTCCCACACCTTCTCAACAACCTTCTCCGGAACCCTGTTGAACCTGAGTCCCAGACATTGTCCGGAATTGCTTCGCACTTCTCCGCAACCCTGTTGAACTTGACCTGGCTTTGCACCCAAGCCTCCCAGACCTCCTGAACCTCTGCACCAAAGCCTTCCAGACCTTCACCGGAACCTTCGCCGGAACCTGACCTGTCTCTGCACCAAAGCCTCCAAGACCTTCTCGGGAACCTCCTCCGGAACCTTCGCCGGAACCCTGTTGAACTTCACCTGCCTCTGCACCAAAGCCTCCCAGACCTTCTCCGGAACCTTCTCCGGAACCTTGTTGAACCTGATGCGGCGCCCGCACCAGTGCACACCGGAGCTATTCTGGGCTGAAGACCCCATTAATTAGCTTACGCTGTTGGGGAAAAATAAATCAAGGGAAGAGTTCAAAGAATAGCAAGTTTCAGCCAACAAAAAATCAATGCAAGACCGCAGAACTGGTCTGGGGAACCATTACGGAATGATTTACCGAAAGCCCAGTAAGGCAGATCCCAGCGAAGCCAACGTAAACCCAGTCAAGGGACACGCCTCTAAAGTACGTTTTCCGTAACCAAGGGAGCCCAATGAACGGCAAGTTCCAGCCGACATAAAGCCCAGTCACGAAAGACCCCAGCGAAAGGAAGACCCAGTCCAGGGAACCCAGCGAAAGGAAACCCCATCAAGGGAACGTCAATGGAAAACCCAGTGAAGGGAAACTCAGTCAAGGGACACCCCAGGGAAAACCCAATCAAGGGAGCACCCAGGAACCCAGTGAAGGGACACCCCAGTGAATAGAAAACCTCGTCAAGGGACACCCAGTGAAAGGAAAACCCAGTCAAGGGAACCCAGCGAAGGGAAAACCCAATCAAGGGAAAGTGAATGAAAAACCCAGTGAAGGGAAAACCCAGTCAAGGGACACCCCAGTGAACGGAAAACCCAGTCAAGGGACACCCCAGTGAACGGAAAACCCAGTCAAGGGACACCCGCTGAAAGGAAAACCCAGTCAATTAAGGGAAAGTGCTGGAACCCAGTCAAGGGACACTTCAGTGAAAGGAAAACCCAGTCAAGGGAACCCAGTGAAGGTAAAACCTAATCAAGGGAAAGTGAATGGAAAACACAGAAAAGGGAAAACCCAGTCAAGGGACACCCCAGTGAAGGGAAAACCCAGTCAAGGGACACCGCAGTGAACGGAAAACCCAGTCAAGGGACACCCGGTGAAAGGAAAACACAGTCAAGGGAAAGCGCTGGAACCCAGTCAAGGGACACCCAGCGAAGGGAAATCACAGCCGAAGGCAAGTTTCGGCTAAAGGAAAAACTGGGTTTTAAAAGTCAAAAAAGTTTAGTATATCGAATAGGGAAAATTAAACTTATTAAACGTTTTAAAACTCCCAAATCCCTTTCCTAGGCCCCAAACTTGGGAAACAGTTTAATATTAAACTTTTAAACCTTTCTAAACTTTTAAAACTTTTGAAACTCCTGGGGAAGGTTTTAAAAGATTAAACAGTTGTTTATTTTGAAAAGTACTGTTTTCAATTTTTGAAAAAAACTATGGGATATTTTGAAAGTTTAAAAAGTTTAATATGTCGAATAGAAAAATATTGAACTTTTTAAAGTTTAAAAAACTCCCAATCCCATTCCTAGACCCCAAATTTGGAAAACCGTTTAATATTAAACTTTTAAAACTTTTTAAACTTTTGAAACTCCCGGGGAAGGTTTTAAAAGTTGAAAAAGTTGAGTATTTCGAATAGGAAAAACATTAAACTTTCTAAATTTCTAAAACTCCCCAACCCCTTTCCTAGACCCCGAATTTTGCAAACAGTTTAATATTAAACTTTTAAAACTTTTTGAACTTTCAAACCTTTTGAAACTCCCGGGGAAGGTTTTACAAGTTTAAGCAATTTAATATGTCGAAAAGGAACAATGATTTTTTCAATTTTTTACAACACCAATGGGTGGTTGGAAAAGTTTCAAAAGTTTAATATTTCGAATAGGAAACATTAAACTTTTTAACTTTGAAAACTCCTGGGGGTGGTTTCAAAAGTTTAAAAAGTTTAATACTTTTCCTATTCGAAAAATTAAACGGTTTAAACTTTTAAAACGTTCCCCATGAGTGTTCACAAGTTTTAAAAGTTCATTTAAACCTTTTAAAAGTTTAATGTTAAACTGTTTCCCAAATTCGGGGTCTAGGAATGGGATTGGGGATTTTTTAAGTTTAAAAAGTCTATTTTCCCCTATTCGAAATATTAAATTTTTGAAACTTTTAAAACCTTCTCCAAGAGTTTCAAAAGTTTTAGAAGTTCAATATTAAATTGTTTACCAAATTTGAGGTGTTTAGGAAAAGGTTTAAGAGTTCAATGCTAAACTATGCTAAACTTTCCCGATCTGGGTGCCCAGAGCTCAAAATCACATAGTCCACTACTACTATTCCCTCGTAGGGGGCGGTTATCACCCACCCCCTTTGGAGCACATATCTTCTCTTGGTGGGGAGGGGGGGGTACCCGTGGCTTGAACTGTTCCGTTCTATGTGACGGCCACGTTCCTAACAGTCCATCTCTCGGGTGGCACCCCCCTTCCCCGCCCCTTGAATTGATCCGACCAAAAACGAGCAAACTATCCATTTTGGCTTGGACGTGTGCTTCGAGCCACAACGGCGTGCACTTTTTCGACATCTCAATTTCCAAAAGTGGTCCGAGCATGAGGTGTTTTGCACGTTTTGACTTGGAAATGTGCTGCGCGCCACAGCGGCGTGCAATTTTTCATTTCTCACCTCCCCAGATGGCTCCGCACTTGCCGCTTTAGCGAGCCTACTTTTCGAACCTCCCGGAGCCACAAATCATTGGAAAAACACAGTGTTTCGCGACTTTCCTACCTTTTCGCGCACCTGCATCTTCTTTCTTCTGACCCTCTCTTCTCTGATCTTCTCTCTTCTGCTCTTCTCTCTTCTACTCTTCTCTTCTCTCTGACTCTTCCCATCTCTGCTGTTCATCTGTCAATATTGTCGGAAGTTTGACTTCTAAACTTCCTTCGATCATAATGTATCATATATTTAATATATCATAGAATCATAATTATCGTATTTAGATAGAGGTTTCCTAAAATGTGGGTCCCCCCTTTAAAAAAAAAACATTTTAGATTTGGTTTTTCCATGAAATCAACCATCCAGCGATAAAGGGGTACCCCCATAACTATGGAAACCCCAGGCCTCCTCTTCCCCATATAGTAGCATATAACATTTACATATAGTATCATAATGTATCATATATCATATATCATATACCCTCTGGTTATTTAACATAGCCATGGAAAATGGCCCATTTATAGATGGTTTACCTATTAAAAATGGTGATTTTCCATGGCTATGTTAAATTACCAGAGGGTAGTATTTATATACCTCCATTGATACCAGGCCAAGATACACCAGGCCATGCCACATCAAGCGTTCCCTGCTTCCGTCGCTCAACGACAACATCCGCAGCTGTTGCTTCTGGGCGGCCTTCAGCAGCACATCGGCGCAAAGGCCGGGGCCCACGGCGCGTAAGCCCTGACGAAAGCCTGGCGAAAAGAAGGGGATGGCGGATGATTAGCATCAACAAATATCACAATAAGGAAATTTGACCCAATAATAGTGGTTTATAGTGGTTTTTATAGTGGTTTTATGGTGGTTTATAGTGGTTTATAGTGGAAATTTGACCCAATAGTAAATGGTTGGTGGTTTTTATAGTGGTTTATAGTGGTTGATAATGGTTAACTGGTTGGTGGCATACCTACCCCTGATTACTGGAGGTTAACCCACCTAATACCAGGCCTAATGTTAACACCATTAAGTATTGACTATAACATAATGTTCTTCATATTTATCTGGTTGGTGGTTAAGCCGACCCCTCTGAAAAATATGAGTCGGTTGGGATGATGACATTCCCAACTGAATGGAAAAAATCCATTCATGTTCCAAACCACCAGATAAGGATTTGATATGAATTGATATAACATGGGATTCAATAAGTTTTTTTTCGGGGTAGAAACCACTTGACATCAATAGTAGGTATCTTTAATTTGTTGTTTTTTCTTTAATGGGATTTAACATGATTCCATGGGATGGCAAACGAGAGTGGGTGCTGGTCAAGTTTCTTGGGTGAATCTATATAGTTGTTGCCTACACATTGGTTGATGGAATCATGATCTGGATGTGGGCCAAAACCCTGTACCCCTGGTGAACCCCAAAATAGCTGGTAAATGGATGTTCATCCCACTAAAAATGGTATTAATAGGTATTGATCCATACCCATCTGGTTGGTGGTTGAGCCAACCCCTCTGAAAAAATTAGTCAGTCGGGATTATTATTCCCAATATATGGAAAAATAAAAAATGATCCAAACCACCAACCTGTAGTGATATTCAAGAATTTACCAGTGTGTAATATTTCCCTGAATCAATGACTTCAGAACTTGCATACAAATTGGTTGATAGAAAACTTCTCTAAATTGATTTTCATATCACCATCAAGAAGGGGAATCATTAGGCGGATTATCCTATAGGGTGCTCACCTTGGGGTTATCACTGGGTGATTTTCTTCGGGCAAATGGACAGGTACATATGCCACCATGGTGAGCATATTGGATTATAAATGACTTATTTAACATATTTACATATTATGAATGTGATTTATATAATATCTATCTGGGTAAATTATAAGACTTCACTAATCTGAATAGTTCGGCCATTTGGAAATGATTTCCCTTTATAAACCATGATTCCAGGCTTCGGTCGCAGTGAGGCCGTTATAATTTACCCAGATGTATATACACTATAAATTAACGTTACATGGCTTGAAAAAAACGAGTTACCATCTGATTATTTAACATAGCCGTGGAAAATCCCTCATAAATGGACGTTTTAATGGGAAATCATCTATAAATGGGCCATTTTCAATGGCTGCGGCTATGTTAAATAACCAAAGGGTAGATCCAATGGCTACAATGCGGCTTCGTTTCGAACAAAATCTTCAGATCGGATCAAGCCAATCATCTGAAACCAGTGAATCTTGGATACCCAATTAAAGTACCCCATGGGATTTTTATCCAATATGGGATATCAAAGTACTGGCAAACATGGATAGTACAATATGGATACATCAATGTGATATCAACAAAAACGACATCAATATGGTTTTTTTCCAGGGGCAAAAGATTTTCCAGATCGAAGATATCAAAGTATTTTTTTCATCTTCACCAGTTGGTTTACCAAAATTTGGCGTAGTGAACCTCATAAGAATTGTCCTCTTGCAATCAAAAGGAAATGGAAAAGCCTCTATAGATTTTGTTGGTTTTACCATCTGGTCATTTAACATAGCCATGGAAAATCACCATTTTCAACAGGTAAACCCAGGTAAACCATCTATTTCTATGGGCCAGCTATACCATGGCGAACTGTTAAATTGCTATGTTTGATGACCCGAGGCCATCCCATCATCCCTCTCCAAGCCCAACTCTGCGGACTAAAATTACTATAGCTATCACCACTACCCTCTGGTAAACGTTAACAAAAAACTATTGAAAATGGCCATTGAAATAGTGGATTTTCCCATTAAAAATGGTGATTTTCCAGTTCGCTATGTTAAATTACCAGAAGGGTAACATCAATACCACCATGTTCTTGGTGCGAGGTTGATTATTTTCCTGGCCACAAGCCATGGTCATGACCTTTATGTTGGCATTTTAAGTTGGAGCATCGCCCCAGCTTCTAGCTGCACCTCTGCTCATTTAAAATCCCAGATGTTTTCCTTGTTTTTTCCATGGTTTTTTCCCACTCAAAGATGCCATATATATGGAAACTTCGCAATGAAAATCGAAGAATCCCCCATTTCTGGAATGAGAAATTCCTAGTATATCCCATAAATGCCCATATATGTATATGTTTAAATATATGTGTATAATATGTATATATCTAAATGTATAATATATATATACATAATATATAATGTTTAAATATATATATATATACAAAATACATAATCTATATAAAATACAAAAATATATAATATATATTATATATATACAAAATTGAAATAATATAATATATTATGATAAAACATAATATATTAATAGTAAAATATGATATATAATATTACTGAAATATTAAATAATATATTAATATTTGGATAAATAGTGCATAATATATTTAAAAACCATATCTTAAAAATGCAATATATAATATATATAATATATAAAAAATATGAAAAAATATATAATATATATAATATATAAAATTTAGAAAAATAATTTATATATATAATATATTATCTATATATTGTATTAAATACAAATATAATATCTATAACAGAAAATTTTATTACATATAATATAGAGGATATAAAAAGAAATATATATATAGCAAATATAAAATATAATATATAATTGAAAAAATTTATAGAATTTAAAAAATATGTAGAAAAAAACCAATATACACAATATATAATATATATAAAATAGAATATATATAATATATAATATATTTAGTATAGGATATATATAATAAAATATATTTATATATACATAATTAAAAAATAATGTATTTAAAAAATGTAAAATATAAAATATTTTGTATAAATAATGAAAATAATATATATGAAAACATATATATATAATATAAATAATCTATATAATGTATCAAAAATGCATAATATATAAATTTTAAATTTAATATATAATTTTTAAAATATATATAATGTGAATACAATATAATAAATATAATATATAATATATAATAATAATATATAAATTTTATATGATAAATATAAATTATATAAAACACAAAATAAATAAAATATTTTTATCTATACATTATGCAAAAAAAATATAAATATATAATATAAATATTTTGCATATACACATATTTAAAATATAATATATAATTTAAATAATAAATGATTTAAATAGAAAAATATATTTCAAATATTATACATATTATTTTGTATAATACATATTATTTAAATATTATATGTTTTATAAATTTGATATATTATATATGTATGTATATAATATATATTATATAATGTATATATATATATATACATATTTAATATAAAAAATATATTTAAAAATATACAAAAATGATATATATCATACAACATAATATGTATAATATTTAAAATATATATGTTATATACAATAAAAATAATTTATACAATATATAATATATATATATATATAAAATATGTGATATAAAAAATATATATATATATTTACATAATATACAAAATATACATAATATAATAAATATATCTATATATATAATATAATATATATATAATATAATATATATATATATTAAAAATAAATAATACATAATATGTATAATTTTTAGTTCAATATATATATATTTAATAAAAATAATAGTAAAATAATATAATAATATAACAATATATATATATATTTAAATATATATTATGATATTTATATTTGTATAATCATGATAATAAAAATAATCATAATATATATTTAATAATATAAATATATTTATAAATATGTAATTAATAATAATATATAGATGTGTGTGTTTTGATTGATTTTTCATATTCCTGCAGAACATCCCCACGGGCTGGAGGCCCCCAAATTTAAATCCGATAAACTAGAACTATATCCTCCTAATTAATCAACCCTAACGTTAACCAAGTAATCTTCACCAACTTACCTAGTATAAAAAAACATCAATCCCGATCCGCTATCAATCCCATGAAATCATCTTGAAATCCCATTTCGCATGGTGAAATCACCCATTTTTCTTGGTTTAAAATAGTTTAAACAGTTTAAATCACCAGGCATTTCCTGGAAAGTCCATCCCCAACGGGTCCCCATCCCCACTGGGGCCCACCTTCCCGTGCCGCCCGGCTCAGCGGCACAAAGATCTCCTCGCGCAGCCCCGCGCCGAAGACGAAGTCCGTGTGCCGCCGCAGCGCCAAGGACGCGGCGGTGGTCAGCGAGAGCCAACGGCCGCCTGGTTGGTGGTTGAGCCAACCCCTCTGAAAAATGATGGAGTTCGTCAGTTGGGATTATTTTTCCATATATATGGAAAAAATGTTCCAAACCACCAAACTTTTCGCCAAACTTTTCGGTACAGGCACCTGCTCAGGTAGCGGAGCGAGGCGCACCCTTCTCGTGTCACCCAAGCCCAGACTACCCCTACGTGATCCGCATGTTGCGGTTCTGCGCCGCCAGGGGCAAACAAAGCAGGGCATCTGCATTGCGTACGCAAGGACGCGTAAGCGTCTCTTCCAGCCATTGCTCAGTTTCGTCCAGAGCTCGAGCGTCCCATGGGACAGCAGCCGATGGTAAAAATGCTTGCAACTGAGTTGAACTGGGCCGACATTGGTCAAGGCCCAGCCGCACTCCAGCTTCTTGCCACACCTTTTTAAGCAGCTGTCTAAACCAACGAACTCGAAGCTTGAATGAGATGGCGCCTGCATCAAGATAAGGGCGCTGATCACTGTCAACCCAACGCTGCTGTATCTTCAAGGGTCCAGGGTGGCCCCACGTCAATTGGAAGTCGATGTACAATTGTGTGAACGACACCCAAATCGGTTGTGCTCCCTGACCCAATGCAAGCCGAGCAAAAAACCATGAAATAGTCTTGCGCACAATCTCCGTGCCAAAAAGTCGGGCGGCCTGAGGCAACATAGCTCCCCGCCAGCTTCCCAGCACAAACCATGGAACAAACTCCCTTGTCTGGCGCGCAGGTGCAACGACAGGATCTGCGGTCAAATTGACACTGTCCTGCACCTGTCTCCGCCCAATTGCAATGTGTAAACTCTTCACTTGTTGAAACAAAAGCTCTGCTGTTGCAGTTGCTCTGGCATGTCTCTCCCATATTGTCCAGAAAGACTGGGGGCGCATCTGATTGGCAAGCCTCGCCGCCTTGTCAGCATACTGATTATGAAAAATCATCCAGGCTTCATGCTTAGTGAGAGCACTTCGCAAGTGAAGGTGTGCTCGAACTTTGACCACATCGACACGATGGCTTCCCAGCTTGTCCACAGATTGAAGAATCCAGGACCACAAGTCTGCATTGCTGCGATTCATGTTGAGCCTCTGGCCACCACGCACAAGGAGGTGGAACTTCGAGACCACCCCTTTGCAGTCTGTCCAAATTCGAACTGCTGCATTCTGCACTGCTGCCCAATGCAAAGTATAGGCCACCGCATACAGCTCAGCACGATAGGCAGTCTGGCACACACCAGGAAGGTAGGAGGCACACAACACGCGCACATCACCCGGACTCCAACCAGCACAAAAAGGAGGCACCAAGGTAGCAGACCAAGCAGCACAACGGAGCGCCGGAGACGCCTGGAAAAGACAGGAGCCATCAGTGAACACATCGGACCAGGACCCAGACGGAAATCCAAAGGCCGGAGGAGGAGCATCAGCTGGCAAATCCACAAGGAGTTGAATCCATTCTGACCAAGTAGGTGGCAACAACGCCCACCCTCGAAGTGAGAGGGCAGCTGGAATCCAATCCAACAGTGCCGGCACGTCTGGCGCAAGGGATGCACGTAAGTCAGCATGCTGTGGGCACGACCAATATCTATGGTGGAGGGTGTCGACCTCGCCGCACCACTTGCATTTGTCTGCCTGATCTGTCCATTTGGATTTGTACCGTTCAGTGAAAAGTCCACCTGCAAGCCCAAGCCGGTACATTGCCTGATCATCCGCTGAGAGCTGCAGCAAGGCTTTTCGGGTGGTGGCCAAGTCGGCTTGCCAAAGTCCATCAAATTCAGCACGGTGAGACACCTTGTGGGCAACCACGGAAGTCCAAGCCCAAGCAAGACGGAGCTCGATCTCTGCATTGTTGCACGATTGAGGACAGAAGGACCCAAACCGATCAGTCAACATTCCTTGACGGGTAACAGACAAACCAGCCGCTTGAACCCGTTGCAAAGCAATGGATGCCATGGAGTTGGGAGGGAGATCAAGGTCACCATGCGCCAACGGGGCAACAGACGCCACCCAGAAGTCAATCGGGCAGTGAAGTCGCAAGGACCGCAAGGTCCAAAGCAACGCCACAAACTGAGGGTCAACAGAAAACTCAACAAGGCCCAAGAGGACAGACGGGTTGACTCCCGGCCTCTGCCAACCAATGGCTTTCACAGCTTTCCTCCTCAAATCCAACCAAATCTGATCTCCAATGGGGGCACTGACAATGGCATGCAGTCCACGTGGCCAAGCAACAGCCCTCAACAGAAAGGTCTTTGCATGGTGGCGTGCTTTGCAAGCTTTGAGTTTGGTCCAAAAGTCATCTAAGTCCACCAGCCTCTGAGCAACAGTACGATTGGTGTACTGTTTGGATACCCCAAAGTGTCCCCCAAGTTCCCGGGCATGATGGAAAACAGGAATCCCACACGTACGCATGGAGCGCCGGAGTTCAGGACAGGTTGCCCAACCAAACGTCTTTCTCCTGTCAACAGTCAAGTCCAACATGCCGGCAAAACGCTCAACCAAGGCAAGCTGGCGGACAGCAAAATCAGGGTCACGGGTCAGGGACTGCCAATCGTCAACATACGTCAGGCACTGCACAGCAGGGGCTTGAAACCGCATCCAACAGGCAAAAAGATGGTCCACCAACAACATGCCAAAGACACTCAAGCCACACCCTTCTGCAAGTCCAGTGCTGGTCAAAAAACCCTGTGAAAAGGATTCTCGAACTTTGAAATGCCGACACATATGAGCAAGGGCACCGCTCCAGGCTGTGGTGACCTGATTGGGAGTACCAACAAGGACCGCAAGGCACAAAGCAGGGTAACGGGGAATGCAATTGAAGCATTTTTCCAAGTCAGCTGAAATGCCAGCCAAGGGAGTAGCCGTTGCATAGGCTTCTTCGATCAGCTGGAGCAACTGGCTCCAGAGGTTGGCTGCCTGTCTCCCACAGCGGTTTCCAAAAACACTGTCATCCACCCATGTCTCAGCAGCACGCAGCAAATGACGGGATTGCACACTGCTCCAAATGCGATAGGCAAGTCCAAAAATGGTGATAGGGCGATAATCGCCTACGGCTGATGCCGCTTCTGTTTTGGCCAACGAGTGGACCTTTCCCGCCACAAGCTGTGACGGCCACTCACCTGTTACTTCAGCTCTGCGATACATGGATTCCAGGCTGGCTAGAGTGGCTGGGTCGGCCAGCAAGATATCGCGCCGGCTGACGCCATCAAGTCCAGTGGCGGCTCGCTTTTTCTTTCTGGCAGCTTCAGCCTGGATCAAGACAGAGTCCAAAGACACATGAGGAACAGGATGTGGTCGGATGACCCGCTTGGCAAAATCCAGCAGCTCAGTCCAATGAGAGAAGGGAACATTGTCATGCTTACACCACCTCAGTTGCCACTGTTCATGAAAGGCATCAAAAATGGTTTGCAGGTCTCCAATGGTCTTTGTTTGAACAACCCTGTCAGCAACCTGGACTTGCGAGATATCCTGAATCCACACTTTGTCATGTTCCGCATGGATCACATCACACTGTTGGCCAGCAATCCAAAGTGGCTCATCCGGCAACAAGGATATCGGGCGATCAAGTTCAACAGCACTCTCATCCAAGTCCACGCAGACGACCCCAACATCAACACGATGCAACAAAGTTTCCACAGGCTCAGGAGGGCATCTGGCAACATCCCGGAACACCAGGTTGCGATCTCTGTCATGCTGAGAGACACGGTGGGCCCCTCGTGCTCGCTGCAAACGCTGTTCAAACAGACGGACCTCAGCTAAGACAGCATCAAAGATTTGCCTAGCAGTGCCTTCACCCGGACAAAAGGCAGGCACCACAGGTGGGTCAAGCGGGCTCACATACTCACGATGAAGCCACCACTCAGAGAAGGATGAGCCAAATCCAGGGGCTCGAAGGATGGCATTCCAAAGTCCAATTCCATGCAAGCCATCAGTCATACAGCCGTTAGACCTTTGACCAATCCAACGACAGTAGTTCTGCAACCGACGGAGCTGTTTGAACTGTTTGGCATGCTGAGCACAGAAACCGAAGAACCCTGGTTGAACATCATGTGACCGGCCCTGCTTGATGGGAGCTTGGCTGCCAACAATTCGTCTGGGTGCTGTCTGACTACCTCGTCCTCCCATAGAGGGAAGCCAGTCCTTTCCCATGGCACGCTGAGCATTGGCCTCTTTGGACTTCCAGAGTTGGGCATATTGCTGGGTAGGGTCAGAGGGCACCGCAAAGTCCACGGCAGCTGGCAAAGCAGCTGCTTGGGGCCAAGAAACTGCTTGAGGACATGGCCACACAAACCGTTCAAGAGGCGCAGCATTGCAGGCAAAAGACGCAACCAGCACAGAGTGATCAGCAAAAACTTCGTGGTCAACCAACAAAGCATGAAATCCAACAGCTAACTCCGGAGAGAGCCACAGGAAGTCCTTGCGAGTGGCACCTTTGCAAGTGTTCAATGGACGCTGACCTGTTTGGGCAAACCAAAGGTCCTGTACTTCAACCCACCCCTTGCTTCGCAGTTGCTCGGTGATAGCCAAAGATTCCAAGGCAAAATTCCAATCACCGGCAAAGAACTTGGGACCAGGCTGGGCGACCAATCTGTGAAAAGCAAAATCCAAAATGGCCTCAGTCCTGGCATGGGCATGGAGGTGGTTGCGTCCTTCAGGAAAGCCGTAGACAACAGCACCAGTGACCCAAGAAATGGCAGTGAAGAAAGAGCCGAATTGGATACGGCCTGTCTCAAAGATATCTGGGGGCCATGGGGCGGCCACTGTCCTGCAAGGGCATGTCGTGGCAAAAGCCACTCCGGCATAGTGGCCCGCATCACTTGAAGCACTTCTCGGAGCCATGGGTGCTCCAGCCAGCAGGTTTCTGCATCGTGTCTTGGAAGACCGAAAAGACCATTCAAGGTTACGACGAGCAAGTTTGGTAAGATGTGTTTCGGAAATGGCAAGCACATCGGCATCGATGCTAGACAAAATGTGATTCTTACCCTGCAATCCAGAGGGATTGCAAATCCCAATCTTCAAAGTGGCATCGCTGGGACCTGGAACACGTGCTTCACCAATCCGACACATGGACAAAATCAAAAGAAGTGACAAAAATGCCCTGAAGGGACGGCAGAGTCCCGGGGTCACCCGAACACCGGGCACAGGTGTTGAGCCCCCACGCCTTCACTCAGTGCGAGGCTTCTTGGCCAAAATGGCCTCTATACGCATCATTTGGTCTGACAGCATCGTGGACATGTGCTGGGTCTGCATGTCAAGCTGCACTTTCATCTGCTGTTGCAAGGACTGGACTTGGGCAGTGCTCTGCTGATGGTGATCTTGCACAGTGCTCTCCAGGGCAGTCTGCCTCGAAGCCAATTGCTGGACTTGGGACTCCAAGTACTGCATGCGTTGGTCCTGGTCGTCCACTTCCATCTTTTCCACCTGACCAGTAGGCAACTTGGCCAAGATGTTCTGTTCCAATCTTTGCTCCAATTCGTGCAGCACATGCGGAGCTGGGGGTGCACATGGCACAGGTGGTGCCTGGCTGAGCGCTTTGGACCAAGGATCCGACTGCATCCAAGGGTCTGTCCCCTGAGGCTCTGCTTGGCGGCACATGTCAACAGTTTTGGCATGACCCACAACCTGCATGTCAGGGCCTGCAGGAGCATCTTTGGCATCTTGTCGTGTGATCAGCACCTGTCCATGTTGCATCGGCAAGACATTGGTTGTCGGCTCAGCGATGGCCTGGATCGACCACATCAGTCCACCTGGCACATGATGAAGAGGTTGAAGAGGTCTGCACTCCCATCCACTTGACTTCAAGATGCGAGCAATGTTCTTGCGATCACTCCCAAAGGGCCATGGGCCACACAAGAACGTCATCCTGGACCCCGGGGCAAGGTACACAGCATCAGGCTTGGAGCTTGTGAACAGGCGTTGGAAGTTGGACACATGAACCCTCAAACCAAACCGGCGACCGGACCGAGCAACCCCAAGGCAATCCACTTCACACTTGGCCTTGTGGACAACCCCGGAAAAATCCAAGTGAGGAAGCCACACAACTTGGAAGTCACTGTGAGGGCGGAGGGCGTCCTCAGTTTTGGGCTCAAGGAAGACACCATGCTGACCACTGGAACACAGGACTTGGGTCTCCAGGCACTTGATGTATCGGATCAACACTGCAAAGTGGGTAGCTTTGTCCCATTTCACTGCCCGGCCAGCATCATTGAAGTACTGACGGCGAAACACGTCAAGGACAGCATCATGTGTTTGATCAGCAGCCGGGTGCCAAGCTCCACACTGACAGTCACCACCTAACCGGCAGGTCTGCAGGCACTTCAACACGGACAAAACATGACGAACGGGCCGAGCAGAAAAGTCCTCCCACTGACCTTCCCATTGGTCTTGGTACACCGTGACCCGGACACAAGCAACTTCAACAGACGGTATGGCAGGGATGTCTTTGGCAGTGAACTGATAGACTGTGGCACGGCCCAACTGAACAAGCACACCTGCAACCAACATGGGTTCATGGTTGACACTGCATTTGGCGGCAAATCTGATGGTGGACCACTCCAGCTGGGTCTGCAATTCACCCGGGGGGTTGATGATGAGCAGCGCAAGTCCATGGTTCGTCAGCAATTTGCCAGAGGTCAAGAAGGGCTGGGCCTCCTGAAAACTGGCAAGGGCAACGCCGGAGTGCAGTGGTCCAAGGGAGGCAAACGGCAGCTGGCCTAAAGGTTCGTCCTGGCCAACTCGAAAGGCCCCATGCTCAATCAACAGTTTTGATGGATCCAAATCCGCAGGTTTGGAGGGCACTGGCTTGCGGCTGGCAGCTTTGGACTTCGGCTTACTGGCGGGCTTGCCTTGGTTATGCTGCAGCTGTTCATCAGGAAGCACCATTTGAAGCGGTGGTGTCTGCATGTTTGCCAAGGCTTTGAGAGACTTCCAAGGGGAAATACCATTCAGTGCCTGTGACACTTCAGGCTTGCCAAGTGCTTGAAGGACCAACTTGGCCCGCAGTTGAACCTGTGCAGATGGCACACCATGAGCTTTCAACAACTCCCCAGTCAGGCTTAGCACATCAGGAGCTCCCAATCCCCAGCACCAAGGCTTGGGCAGGTACACTGCGGAACTACAGGCAGCTTCAAAAGACAAACGCAAGTCTTGGTGGAGCAACGCAAGGTCATCTTCGGAGGTTGGAAGATCTTTGCCAAGGAGCTTGTGAAACATGAACGCAACTGCAGCAGCACCACAGAAACCTCGAGAAAAGGAACGACGAGTGCAAGCAAGGACAAACCGGGGCTTTCCCCAAGAGGCACTGATCAACCCATGCAGTGGGCAAAGGCTTTCAATCTCCACATCTGTGTTTTCCCACATGCTAACTTGGACTTCACAAAGGCCAACCGTCCATGCAATCGGGACCCAATGATCATGCACAGGCAACACCGTGATGATGGTGGTCATGTCTGGGTGTTGGCGGATCCAATCAGTCACGACATCGGAGGACCCTGACTTTGACCACCCAAGTGCAATCAAGGGATCCAAAAATTCCACATTCGTACGGCCAGACAAACGCAGGCATGCAGTCACATGTAAGATCAACTCATCATCACCCATAGCATTGCCTTGGTTCTTCAAGATTTCAAGACGAGAAGGAATGTGCACCAAAGCTTGACGGAACATGGCACAAGCACGCCCATCGGACACCAAAGGAGGAACCAACGAGGCCAGTTGGGCTCCAGACAGAGTCTTCAAGCTTTGCAACGTGTCCATCACAATGCCAGCTGGGGCAGGGGCGACATGACTTTCACCACCAGAGACAACCGGCTCAGGCAAGCTGGTGAGATCAGGCATCGGTTCATCCTCAGGCTGTTCAGACACCGTCTCAATTGGATCATGCATGTCCATCAGAGTAGCAGGCACTGGCACATGGTCACCAACATCCCCAAAGTCCAAAGGCAAAGGAACAGGAGTGCACTGACTTGATGAGGATCCCCCGCAACTCCGGTACTCTCATGTGAAGTCCTCTGAAGTCGGATGTGAAGTCCAGCAACAAGTGAGTAAAAGTCCAATGGAAGTCCAGTAGAGACATCAACCCACTGTTCAGCCGGGGCCTCTTTGGTGAGGGCAAATTCGGCTTGGAAGAGCTCAATGGCGGTTGTGCTGGCATTGACCTGAACTCGAACAGTGGTGCCATCAGCATATGTAAGAGTGGTCCAACCAAGTTCTGTTGGGATGACAGGCACATTGGGAAACATGTCTTGCGCACATGCAAACAAAGCCTTCTTGAGCTTGGCTAGATTGTCCACAGGATCAACGGGTGCCAAATCCAAAATGGAGTGAAGCTGTTGCATGATGCATGACCCAACCCACACCGATTGCATTGGGGATGCCATCTGTCCTACAGCACTCAAACACAACCGGAGACTCGGCCTGTTCTCTGTCATCCAAGTTGCAGGAGGTAGCAGGGCATTCAGAATGGCAAGCCCACATGGATGCAAATGCCGGAAGGCAGCATGACCGGATGCATTGGGCACCTGTACAAGCTGGGCATAAATTCCTCTTTGTCGGAGCACATGGTCACTAAATGATCCTCTGCAACCGCACGAACATGCATCAGCTTGGCTACCATACGAATGCAAACTGGTCGGAAGTTTCCCATCCATCTGCATGAGGTACTTTCGGAGACTGGATCCATCTAAGGTGAACTGCCTACCCTCATGGGCCGTCAGCTGCAACTCAGTCAAAACCTCTGGAGACCAAGACGAGACAAAAGGCATGATATCACGGATTGTCAAACTCGGATGCTTTGGCCAAACAGGCAAATGCATAGGGCCAAGGGATGGGTGAGAGGCCACGACCCACCATCGAAACCGCCGGGCACACCAGTTGTCCTCAAGCTTCAAAGACACCTCACTCAGATGATACCCAAGTTGCGTAGAGAGCACCTGAAGACAGGACCTGACAAACTGATTTGTCCTTGCCTGGGTCACGCATTCCAAGATCAACAAGGGGCATTGACACAAATGGCAGGCTACGACAGTGGCAGGGACAGTGCTGGAACGTTCATCACAAGACCCCCCTTGGGCCCCTCCCGTGGAGTAGGGCTGACATGAAAACCCGGCCATCATGGTGAAGGGTGGATCCACAACTTTCAAAACCTCTTTGATGCTGGAAGGGCATGAGATATCTCCATGGATGACAGGGATTCCAGGACGGCAAGAGCGATGAAGGTCAACCAACGGGGCACGCCACTCAACGCTGCACACATGGGTAAAACCCGAGGCCGAAAGTCCATCAGAGGAGCACGCCATGCCAGCACACAACTCCACACATCGAAAAAGGTCAGTTGTCGGCTTCAATCCATGTGCAACTACCACCGTGGCATCGGTCAAAAGCAGGGTCACTCCAGCCTGTGCAGATTCGAAAATGACCTCGAACATAGTGAGCCGTCTGCATCCCTGAGCTTGCTTGTCAATGGCCCCAACCACCTTGACTTGTCGGCCCTCAGGTACAGTCACCCCAAGGAGCTTGTCATGTGAATGAACCAAAACAATCACCACAGAAACTGTTGAACCTTTGTCAATGGTGTCCCAGGATGGCGAAAGCTGCAAGGAACTACATGGCCTATCCCACTCCGTCATGACCCAAAAAGTCGAAAAACAACCAGGGGGGCAACACCGCTCAGATTCAGCATGCGCTACCAACCCCTGGCAGGTATCTGAGCCCAGGCTGTTCCAAACCACCAACTAGTTATATAGTTGGTATGTTAGATGGTATATTAGATGGTTGTTATTATGCCATCTAATTCGCTAACTTGATATTACACCATGAATTACCTTATAATCATGGTCAGTATCCCGATGTAATCAGCAGGTAATTAAGTCAACATGGCATATCATGTCAAAATGTTATAAGGTAATAAGGTCTATGGTTAGTATATCACCATGGCATCGACAACTTACAATGATATAGAATGATAACACAATGTTTGGAAGCAATGGGTGATACGGGTCTAGAAAGAAATTGGTAACCAACCATAGTTCACAATAGATAACGGTGATATATTGTTCATGGTGAAAAATAAACAACCATGAATGGTGATGTACTATTTGCGTTTGGTTACTATAATGATGGTAAATTCAAATAGACCCTGAACATATGCAAGTTTTAGTGCACACTCATCTTCCAGCCCCTTTGTTGGCAGGGTAATATGATATAATGAGATACATGGGTGATATAGTCAACAATATTGATATTTGGGTCTTTGAACCATATTTGGACAGTATGTGATGGAAATTTCGCTGGTATATTGACAAAATGGGGAGTGAAGTGAACCAACCATATTAGGATATGTTGGGGTCTTTGGCTTGAAGGGTGTTTGAGTTTGAGTGGATAATTTTGAAGGGAGTGGGCTACCACTCTATGGTAGATGTCTACAAGTAAGTACGTGTGTGTGGGGGCCCACAGTGTGTATGTGTGTCTGTGTGTGTGTGCGTCTATATATTTGTGTACAAAAATGCATGTCACAAAGCACTGTCGCTTTCATCTGCACCTTAAGGACCACTCAAATACAGAAAGCCAACCAAGCACGGCCTCAATTTTACAAGTCTTGCAGGCGGCGCCACTGGTTGAAATCGCGGACACATGTTTCTGCCCATACTCCTTGCAAAGACATTCTGGCAACGTATATGGCGATCACACTACAAATACTGGACCTGATCTTGAATCGCTGAGCAGCCACCACTTGCCCTTCGGAAACCCCAGGAAGTCACTGATCCATCGGCCGAAATGGCAGCAAAGGAGTGACCTCCAAAAGGGCCAAAAGTGGACTGAATTTGCTGCACTTTCCTGAGCTGATCACAAACTGCGGAGCTGTCACCACCGTATCGTGGATCGCCCCAGCTTACAACCGATCCGTTGGCCAAAATGGCGGCAAATGCACCATCATCACCACCACGACCTGTGCTCTGAATTTGTCGGACGTTTTGGAGCTGATCTTGAACATCGGAGCTGTCACCGCCAGACCTTGGATCGCCCCACGTAGTGACTGACCCATCGGCTAAGATGGCAGCAAAAGCAGCCTGTGTGGTTTGAACATGCTTGACATTCTTGAGCTGATCTTGAACTCCAGAGCTGTCACCACCAAACTTTAGATCGCCCCAGGTAACGACTGAGCCATCAGACAAGATGGCAGCAAGAGCAACTCCAAGAAAAAAATATGCTGCCCGAATTTGCCATACGTTTGCAAGCAAATCACGAACTGCAGAGCTGTCACCACCATAGCGTCGATCGCCCCAGGTAACGACTGATCCGTCGGCTAAAATGGCGTTGAAAGCACCAACTGTGGCCTGAATTTGTCGCACGTTCCTGAGCTGATCTTGAACTGCGGTGCTGTCACCACCGGAACTTGGGTCACCCCAGGTAACGACTGATCCATCAGCCAGAATCGCTGCGAAAGTTATTGAAAATTGCACAGGCGACAGGCCCATGGGACGCTGGCACCAAGTTGTAGGCACTAGGCCACATTCTGAGGACGATATCGCCGTTCGAGCATGCGAGCTCTCACCCCGGCCAAATGAGCTAGGACAGCATTGTCATAATCCTTGCTTCGGCCCGTAGGCCAACCTAAAACATATTGCAAAGTATCCCGAGGCACACGGCATCTGGACTGGCGAAACCCTCTACAAAACCATGCGAGATGTTCCCAACTTGGAATTTCATCACTATCACACCACACACAACCTTGGATATCTAAACCTCGAATTCTGTCAAAGCGGGCGTCAGAGCAAATAGCTCCGATCATGACGCCGCGACCATGAGTGTTTTGATCTTTGAAGATTTTCCTCACACGGGTCATCCTAGATTCAGAATATGCTTGCTCACCAACAGCTTGAGCATCTCTTCTGCCACTATTAATGAATCGGGAGAACTGCACACGGCGCCAGCTTTCTCGCACGACAACTGCCACTATTAATGAATCGCTGCGAAAGCACAACCTGTGGCCTGAATGTGCTGAACGGTCTTGAGCTGATCTTGAACAGCGGAGCTGTCACCGCCAAAGATTGGATCGCCCCAGGTAACGACCGACCCATCGGCCAAGATCGCTGCAAATGCAAAACGTGCGGCATGGACCTGCTGCACATTCTCAAGCTGGTCTTGAACAGCGGAGCTGTCGCCACCATGGTCGGGATCGCCCCATGTTACAATCCTATCACCTCCGCAACACCAAACTGCAAATGCGTCTTCTGTTGCTGATAGCCTTGCTTGTTGTGCAATAGCCGTCAAGAACTCTCCTTCCTGAATCCCTGCAGTGAGCAAGGACTCCGTAAGGTTGGTAAGTGCCTTCCCCTTGGCCCTTGGCAGTGACAAGCCTGAGAAAACCCTGTCCAAAGCATTTCTGGGCCATGATCTTTAAGTCTTCCACTGTAGACTCTGGTGAAAGTGACAGGCTTACACAGCAACCACTGGGGAGCGATACATCTACCCGAAGCATTTCGTTCACTGAAAAGAGAGAAGTCGATGTCTTTCACCGTGAGCCGAAGCTGCCAGAACACCAGATACCTCTAGAGCAACCAAAGGGACGGTGACTCAACTCATGACTCTTAGGATGCTATCATTCTACCCAAAAAACATCATAGAATGATTGTGGTGTCACCCGGAAGATAACACACTCAGTTGCGATAGTATGGGATAGTCATAATGAGAATGTTGTGGAAAATATGGGAAAATAACAAGGCATGTTTGGCGCAATTAGACAGGGGTTGACTATCTATTTAAAATTGGAACCACCAATATAGCCGGTGTAAGATTTCTTCCTCCATATTATATATATATATTTATTTATTTATATATATACACAGCGCGGTATATGTTGTGAATGCTGGCAAATTTCGTTTGAATCCAAAATGTCTCTTGATTTTAGTTGGCAATGCGGAAAATGATCTTCTTGCGATATGTCCATGTTTCTCGGTTCCATGTCTGTTACAAATAAACGTCGTATGTTCTAAGTTGTCTCCCCAAGATCCATGGGATTTTCAATCGGATTGATGGATGAAGTGTAGATCCACCATCGATACCATGGATTCACAACGATTTCTGGTTGGTGGTTGACCTACCAACCCCTCCGAAAAATGATGGACTTCTTTAGTTGGGATGATGAAAATCCCAGCTGAATGGACAAATAATCCATTCATGTTCCAAACCACCAACCAGATTTGTTCCATAAAAACTTGAACGATACCCTCGGAATAAAACTTTTAAAACTTTGAGTTTGAACAATTGTGGATTGAGTTCGATGATGTTCCAATGAAAATCCCAGTCATACATGATTTTCCAGCAAGCTATGGAGCTGGTGACGCCAGAGGATATGATACGAATTACCCGGCCTGGTAATGACTAACAGTTTGCTAGTGAAAATGGTCATAGAAATAGTGGATTTACCCATTGATAGCATGGTGATTTTCCAGTTCGTTATGTAAACGTTTACCAGAGGATACCATTGCAATGAAATTGGCAAGATTTTAACATAGCTATGAAAAATCTCTTTTATGAATCTTTATTAATTGCCATTCGAAAATCCCCCCTGTGGGGTTTTCTTAAAATGGGGGATCCCAAAGTCACCATAGGTTTCAATACTACGTCATGCTCATCCATGACTTGAATGATGTGAGGGTACCCCCATGACTTCGGAAACCTCCATATATATATACATATATAGATATATATATATATGAAAGTACGCAATTTACGAACTATCTTGTTTTAACTTATCATAACATCTTCCACCATAAATGAGTTTGGGTCAAAATTGGGCACCCAAACAAGTGGATGGTTAATACATGTAATAAATACTAAAAATGAACTAACATCTGTGGTCTCCACCTTTCATATTTTGACCCATCCCCATATATATCATGTATATATATAATGGTAATCCCTATCGTTTTAGGCTGCGTATGACCAAATTGGCCACCGGTAAAATCTCCGGTCACCCTTTGGTCGCCTTCCTCCAAGCTGCGTGTCACGAAGGCTTCCTTGGGATTCCACACCGATCATTGGTACTTCACATTCCTGTTATACGGGGTTTTTTAAAATAAGGAATGATGATCTCCAATAAAAATCCAATTCATATGATTAACCAATATAAGCATTATATCTAAATATATTGGATATGTATAGTGTGTACATATATGATATACTGCCAGTTTGAAAAGATAATTTCTGAAAAAATGATACAGTATGTGAAATCTAGGCAACAAATGATACAGGAAACATGAATAACAATGGTACAATATATGGCAAGTATTGGTGGATCGAAATATGATATCTCCATTATGATCCCAATATGTGTTTCTAACGTCATATGTTAAAAATGGACTCGGGTCCAACCAAGATGAATTGGATTCCTTATTTCCAATGATCAAATATGATCCACTGGTAAACGTTTACATAGCTATTGAAAATGGCCATAGAAATAGTTAATTTACCCATGAAAAAATGTGATTTTCCATAGTTTACCCATTGAAAATGGTGATTTTCCATAGTTTACCCATGAAAAATGATGATTTTCCATAGTTTTTTTGTATGTTTACCAGAGGGTATCCACTGTTGTTTAACGGGGAGATGACCATCCCAGACGACTCGGAAAATGATCCCACGCAGTTGTTTAAATCTCACAATTTCCTGATATTCATAGTTCGGTGCATCATGAAACTATATCAACTATATCTTATATATCATGATACTCCATATATTAAAATATATATATATATTGTAAATGTTGTGTATATATATATAAATACAACATATATACAGTATCCGTATATATATATTATCAAATCCCCATGAATTATGATACCCCGATGTAAATCTCCCTGTTTCCAGACCATTCCCTTAAAGTTATGGGACACTAACCCAACGGATATCCTCGTTATAGCCTCATTGTATCCCAAGTACAATGATATGCACTAATCTTAATCTGGTTGGTGGTTGAGCCTACCCCTCTGAAACATATGAGTTCGTCAGTTGGGATGATGACATTCCCAACTGAATGGAAAATAAAATTCACGTTCCAAACCACCAATCAGTAATGGATTGGTTTAAGGGAAACTCTGTACACCAACCTCTGGATATGTTTTTCCCCACCTGCCAGGTGAGGGTTGTTAGATTTTATCAGAGCGCATGCCCGCCTCCTCCTCCTCCAGCTGTCCTCCTCGCTGTCCTCCTCGCCTCCGCCTCTTCCACCTCCACTTCCGCCTTGCTCCACCTCCACTTCCGCCTTGCCAACCTTGCCAACTCGTCGCCAAGCTCTTCGCCAACTTGCCCAGCTCAGTGGGCACTGCTGGACGTCAACCTGCGAGCTGCCCAGCTCAGTGTGCACCGCTGGACGTCAACCTGCGAGCTGCCCAGCTCAGTGTGCACCGCTGGACCTCAACCTGCGAGCTGCCCAGCTCAGTGTGCACCGCTGGACCTCAACCTGCGAGCTGCCCAGCTCAGTGTGCACCGCTGGACCTCAACCGGGGACCTGCCCAGCTCAGTGTGCACCGCTGGACCTCAACCGGGGACCTGCCCAGCTCAGTGTGCACCGCCAGATAAAATGCCAGATAGAATGCCAGAAGATATGCCAGATAAAATGTCAGATAGAATGCCACAAGATATGCCAGATAGAATCCCAGAAGATTTGCCAGATAATATGCCAGAAGATATGCCAGATAGAATGCCAGATAGAATGCCAGAAGATATGCCAGAAGATATGCCAGAACATATGCCAGAAGATATGCCAGATAGAATGCCAGAAGATATGCCAGAAGATATGCCAGAAGATATGCCAGATAGAATGCCAGATAGAATGCCAGAAGGTATGACAGAAGATATGTCAGAATATATGCCAGAAGATACAGTATGCCAGATAGAATGCCAGAAGATATGCCAGAAGATATGCCAGATAGAATGCCAGAAGGTATGTCAGAAGATATGTAAGAATATATGCCAGAAGATACAGTATGCCAGATAGAATGCCAGAAGATATGCCAGAAGATATGTCAGATAGAATGCCAGAAGATATGCCAGATAGAATGCCAGAAGATTTGCCAGCTAGAATGCCAGAAGATATGTCAGATAGAATGCCAGAAGATTTGCCAGTAAGAAAATGTATAAATGTCATGGTGGGGATCACACGAAGTAAAGTAATTTTTCGGTTGGTCACATCCCCTTGATCCCCCTCACATCATATCAGTGGTTATCGGAGGTACCTACCATCTTTTTCAAGTCTATTTTTGAGAGCTAACTTTCTGAGGAGACGAACCCCCGCCGGTTCGAACTGGCTGCATTTCTGGTAGATTCCCAGTGGATCAGTACCTGATTTCTGGCCATAAAAATAGTCATGGAGGTCTCAGTTATGGCAGCCCCAAATCATCCAGTCGTCATGGATGAGAATGACGACTGGTATTGGAACCGATTTGGTGACTTCGGGAACCCACCCTGGTGACTTTCATGACTTCAGACACCCCATATGGAGATTCATGAATCATCGATTAATCATCGATTAATCATCGATCCCTCACATCTCACATCACATTTCTCCATAGGAGAATCACTAATTGGTGGTATACCTACCCCCCTGAAAAATGATGGAGTTCGTCAGATTGGAGAAAAATCATCCCCAATCTGGTTGGGGAACATAATCAAATAATCCATTCATGGAAACCAGTCACCACCAAGCAGATCAACATCCATTCACCTCCCATGGCAGTGTGTCAAAACCTATTAATACCATTTTTAGGGGGATGAACATCCATTTACCAGCTATTTTGATGTTCACCAGGGGTACAAGGTTTTGACACACTGCCCCATAACTTCACCGGGTCCCAGCATCAAAGAGCCTCTCCTCCAGCCTCTCCTCCTCACCGCTGAGCTGCGCCTCCAGCAGGGCACGCTGCGAGGCCAAGTCGTCGAGGCTCAGCAGATTGCTGCCCCGCAGCAGGTCGAAGCCTCCAAGGCGTTTCGAAGGACGTGGGAACCGGTGGAGAAAGAGTGGGGACCTAAGGTGGAAACACTGTGGTTATATATTGAATGATACTAATCCTCGATGGTTGTTCATATCATCATTACTAGGATCATTTTTGTTACATTGTTGTTGTTATTAAGATAATGAAAAAGAGGTGGGTATATAGGTTACAAGGTTTCCTTACAGCAGGTATAGTCATCCTGACTATAGATAGAATATGGATAGGGCAAGAGAATCCTTTGCAACATTATATCTACTTCAGGATATAGGTATGTATTGATAATAAGAACAAGTACTAACTGTAATCATTACTCATATAGTCCCGGCCCCTCAAGAAGTATATAATACATTTGCAATGGAGCACGCAAAATAGCCCATTGATGCAACGTGTTTTGTGAAGATTGAGGGTCCAGGGTTGCAATAAACATAGCGACGACTATAGTAGTAGTGACAATATAATACAATATCTACATAGTAAGTGTATGACAGTATATATATATACAGTATATATATATATATGTACACAGTAAATATATATATACCCTCTGGTAAACTAACATAGCTATTGAAAATTACCATTTATAGTGGATTTTCCCATTAAAAATTGTGGTTTTCCATAGCTATGTTAAATTACCAGATGGTATATATTATATTGTAGTGACTGGGCAAGCCCTGGAAAACTGGGGATATGGTAACCATCTAGAAGTGGGCCCCAAGGTTGCCCAGCCGTCACCTCCAGGGAGATCCCTTCCAGCCATTGGGCCCCAAGGGAAATCCAAAAAAGCTCGAATCAGGGAGTGCCCAAAAAATGAATAGGGAGTAGAACAGGAAAGACCAGGATTCTTCAACCTCCATTTTTTTTTTCGCGTTGAAATCGACGTTTGCATAGATGTTCCATTGCCGAGTCAAATTGCCGGAGAATATGGTCCTTTTGGTTTGTCGGTGTGGATTACAGTAAATCCCGTTAAATCCAAATATCATTATAAATCCCATTAAAACCCACAACAAAACCCACAAAAATCCCGTTAAATACAAATAAATACCATTAAATATTGTGAATCATCAAAAGCCATTGAATTAGATTCCATTAAATCTGGATTTACTTATCATCCATGTTCCTCAACATGAGATTCCCAGGCACGCTTCCACAAGCGGCTCAGCAGCAAACCAAAGAGCACCTTAGGTCCGAGCTGGGCGTGGCCACAGCTAAGAATCATGGGAGATTCACAGGAGATTCAGCAAGATGGGGCCCCCAGTCGATAGCGCGAACCGTTGGTTTATAAGTGGTTGAATTCTATGGTTTATGGTAGATATAACGAACTAGTTAATGAGTTTTTTTGTCTTAATGGGATTTTTTAAAGGGGACCTCATCTGGTTGGTGGTTGAGCCTACCCGTCTGAAAAATATGAGTTCGTCAGTTGGGATGATGACATTCACAATATATGGGAAAATGAAAGCCATGTTCCAAACCACCAACCAGTCATTGAGATTTTTTGTCTTAAATGGGATTTAATATGGGACTTATAATATGGGATTTCACGGGATTTTGAAAGCATCAAATCCTAGTAACATCTGGGAATTATATCATGGGAGTTTTTATATGAATTCATGGGATCTACTGTGATATATTCATCACCAACTGAAAGTGAAAATCAGCTGTGTCTGACACCGGAGTATACCCTCTGATAAACTAACATAACTATGGAAAATCACCATTTTCAATGGGAAAACTCACTATAAATGGTCATTTTCAATAGCTATGTTAAATTACCAGAGGGTAATTATACAACCATTGAAACGGCAATTCTATTCAGGAAATTCATGATTCACCCGTGGATTTAGACAACTTGCCACATGAAATCAGACTGCTACCCATCGTGAGATGGGCTTCACCTTTCAACGATGGGAGGCTATGTTCCTAGATAGTCTTAGTATGTCTTAGTTGGGTTCCTACAAAAACATGCAATTCTAGGTTCCTCAATTCTTGGATAGGCAAACAAAGAAGGCAAAATGACCACAAAGTCCGAAAATCAACCACACCACATTTCATCGAAACAAGCTTCGCAGAAACGCCGTTTGAGGATGGTTCTCCCAACCAGATGGTCATTTGGGGATGGAAAAAATGGCAGATCCATGGTGAAAAACTGTGGTTAAGATACCTGGTTAACATATGGTTAATATTAATGGTTATTAATGTTGGTTAATGATCTTATGATCTTGAATCATTTGAATCATATGGTCTATCAATGATAATCTGGTTGGTGGTTTTTCGCCTACCCCTCTGAAAAATCATGGAGTGAGTTCGTCAGTTGGGATGGATGGACATTACTGAATGGAAAGTCATAATCCATTCATGTTCCAGTCACCACCAACCAGCTAGTCTTTACATCCTTTGGAGCACATCAAACAAGATGGGCACCCCAGGCAGTGTCCATCCAATTGGAAAAAATTGACCCTTCAAAAATCGTGTCGGCAGGAAAATCCAGGAATTATTTAAGTTTCGATGATTTTCCCAGCCACCGACTGATGACTGGAGGGAAAATACCAAAAAATGGCCATGTTGGTGGCCAGTGGGTCCCTGAAAGAATCTCCCTGTGCCACTGTTTTCGAGACATTTCTCCGTTCAACCTGGATTTTTTCGTGCATTCCAAGCCCCGGATTTGATCGATCTGGAGGTCAACAGTGTTGAGGGATGGTACCCCCATTGTTTTGTTGATGAAATCATGACCTATACCTTCCAATCTCTTCCAATTCTAGAAAGCAGTTGCGCAATCAAAATCTGACTCCACTGCCCATGAAAGATGAAGGAAAGACTATCTTCCAATCCACTTTTGCTTGAAGGATAATGATTATAGTATACCCTAATGTTACCCTGGTTAAAGAACACCTGTATAAACTACAATTACCCTCTGGTAAATTCACATAGTTATAGAAAAAATGCCCATTTCGGTCGGGAAATTCCAACAGAAAGCATCGCAACAAGTTAGTATATCCGATATCTTCATGAGTTCCATATCTTCCATATCTACATTTATGGAACTCTGTGATTTTCGATTTCATTAATATAACTCTTTGATTTCCAGAAAATATTTCCATGATTTCCTCTATGATTTTCGGGATATCTTCCACGACTTCTACGTTTTTTTTTATGCCCGGCGTGGTCCTATCAGATGGTGTTCTCCGTTCCAAAAAACGCCCGATGCGCCGCGGCGCATGTCCGAAGTACTTGTCTGCTTGTCCGATCCTCGGTCCGCTTGGTGTGTTTGTTGATCCGAAACGAAAACGATGATTCCACTGGGTAAAATAATAATATTTCACTAACCTGAATTGAGGCCATTTGGGGGGATGATTCCCCTTATTAACCATGATTCCCAGTGAGGTCGCAGTGAGGTCGTTATAATTTACCCAGATTCCAGTGATTTATTCAATGGTAAACAAAGAGTTTGCGACATAGAAAATGGCCATAGAAATAGTTGATCTACCCATTAATAGCATGTTGATTGTCCATAGTTATGTTAATTTACCAGATGGTATTATTGTAATAAGTATGATGATCTACTAAAACTACGAAATAAACATGAATAATCAGTATTCTTATGATAGTCATCTATGTACTCTATTGCAAGTATAACCATTATTATAAAAAAATATTACTAGATTACTAGTGTTATTATAAACAACCTCAACACTTACCATTAGTAATCATTACGATAATCGTCATTGACTAAGCAAAATAATCCCATCCCATCCCCACAGGTTTTATGGGATAACCCCATGCCCCTAATATTAAACACCCCCATGGCATGGTCCCAGGTGATTTCATCTCCTACTAAACCATGGTTTCGTTTGGGGGCGTTTGATATACCGGGAAATAAAGATGGTAGAAAAGAAAAATTTTCCTACTACAGTAAATCAGTGATAAATAACTGTTCTCTCCTGTTTGGGATTACTTTACTGGTATGTAAACAGTAGAAATTTGGAGAAAGTGGGTATATAATCACTACCACCATTTCAAAATATTCAATGACATTGGAAATATGATATGAAACACCAATGGGGTTTACATATACAGTTTCGAGACTCAACCAAATAAATTGGATTAAAAAAAAACAAGATATTTTGCCAGAGTTGGTTCAGAACCCTGGTCGGTTGAATCTCAAGCGTGGGATAGGCACTCGTTGAATCTCACAGTCCTCTGTTGCGGGCATACCTCAATTCCACAGGGATGATACCCATAATTACAAAAGTTGTGGTAAATTACCTTAACCATCCTTAACCAACAGTTACCCGCTGAATTGATCAACTACATCAACACAACAAAAAAAAACACATGTTTCCCCAGCTGGTGCTATCCTGGTGCGAAGCCCCATAACTTCAAGCCCATCTATGTTTTGGCAGTTGGGAAACCCAATTCGTATCTCCTTCACTCCCAAGCACTGGATACGAAGAAGGCGCCATGAAGGGCTCTTGCACCGTCTTCCCATCGAAATTGAGCTACGAATGTTGGTTGAGAGGTTTCCCATTCGTACCGGTTACGAATCAAAATATATATACAATAGTATAACTCCTCATAGTACAACTCCATAACCAATCAACAATAATTTATGAATTATATCCATGTATATCCCCATATTTTTCGATATTTTTTGGCTTCATGGGCCCTTTCATGGTTAAGTCGCTAAGAACTTAACCAAATGGCTCCGGTTCCCTCCCAGCCTGGTGTCCATGAGTGGTTGGAGATTAACCATTATATAGCCATTAATACCCAACAAGGTAATTAATTGATGGTTATAGCCATTGTATAGCCACTATATAGTACATATTAATGGCGATTAAGATTAATGGTTATAACTCCTTCTATATAATCACCATTCATAACCAATCAACACGGGTATAACTATGTGACTAACAATGTATAAGATCTTCACGGCTCAGTTGGCATCCCTTCTTGTCGAAGCGTCCTGGTGTTGTCCATGACTTCGTAGTATCTGCGGAGTCCTTGCACCACTTCCGACTTGTTCTCCAAGGATTCAGCGGTGATTCCTGTCGTGACACGAGAAAACCTGGTGCCCCAAAAATGCTGGGTTTTTTCAGCAAGAAACATGGCGATTTCGTGGGATTTATGACTGATTTATGTCAGCTAAATGGGTTTATAACTCTAGCTAAGTGGGTTTGTGGTAGACCTGGTAGATATATGTAAAAGTTATACACTGATATTACTTGGCGGGCACCACCCTGCACTAGACCCATCCCCGATCATATCAAATACCTCCGACGAGCGAAAATTAATTGAGCCAAACCAAAAAAAGATGAAAATGATTTTGTTTGGCGGAGTATTTCATTTTTGCGGATGGGGTTTACATGGTTTTTTTCAAGAAAACCCAAAAATACATGGAGGTGTCTGGGGGCCGAATGATTTGCTGATCGCTCTCTGGCCGTGGCAAACCATCCCTTCTTGCGGTATAAAATCCCACATTTGATGCATCAGAGTCCAAGCCTGGCTGGGTTTGACATTCTATAACTTTCGGTAGGATAGGACTAATTTGTCTCCACCAAATGACCGAAACCGACCCTATAACAAACCAAAGGTGTACCCCAATGTCACATATGTCACTGGAGTTGAGGAAACAACAAAAAAAAACAAGACATACGAAATGATGGCTGATTCCAAAAACCAACTAAACTGTCAAGGCAATCGCACATCTAGAATTAAATGCAACACGTTTTTCAGCGGCTGCAAGTCGCACACGGAAAATCCTCAGGTCAGTTGGATGCACCAGCTCAGGATATGATTCATGGGATTGAATAGGATTCAATGGGATTTACCCTCTGGTAAATTAACATAGACCCTGGCAAATAGGACTTGGAAAATTAGTTTCCATTACACATTGGTTATTTTCAGGGTCTATGTTTATTTACCAGAGGGTATAACCAACTGAATATGACATTGCCAGTTTGCCATGGAAAGATCCACCATGCTATCAAGTTTGGTAAACCATCTATTTCGATTAGGGCCATTTATACCATGGCTATGTTAGTCATAACCGGAGGGTATAACCAACTGAATATGAGGCTCTGAAAATGGCTATGCCCCAGAATTGCCATTTCAAAAGGGCTTTCAGAACCAGTGGATGGAATGGAGTCCCCTATTTTGACAGCTTAAATCCAGCATTTTTGTCCAATGTTTTGTGCCTTCTCAATGAATAGATATCATTATAATAATGACTATAAATAGCCCATAATACTCCATTTATTGTAGGCTTTCCCATTTATGACCATTTTTGTCCAATGTTTTGTCCATTGCCATTTTATGGGTCAATTTTCGCCCAGATATCATTGTCATCCACTAATCTCCCATGAGAATCATTGACTCAGTTGTCATCAGTGCCACTATATTTACCCTCTGGTAATGACTAACGTAGCTATTGAAAATGGTCATTAATAGTTGATTTTTCCCATTAAAAACTGTGATTTTCTATAGCTATGTTAGTTTACCAGAGGGTAATTTACTTTTTGTCTCATGTTCTTGGCATTTCACATCCCGATATTTATCTCATGCCATTCAAAATACCCCGTTTTCCCACCTCATGAACTACTAGTTGGTTGAAAACGGTTTCCCATTCATATGGGTTAGTTCATAATCTCCAACCACCACATAATTATAACTCCTTATTTCACAATCAACAAGGGTATAACTTGTTCATGCCATCGGCAACCAACATTCTTATATAACGCTGGCGCTGTAGTTCATCATCCCGCATAAATTTACGTACAAGGTGTTCCCACCCCATACTTAGCTAAGTTGCTGCCAGTAACTCCAATTTCACTATGGTTTATGGTAGATATATTGACATACTATTCCTATGGTTAACCAACGACGTTCACATCACTGGGGGGGCATCACCATCCCCGAAATCCTCATCCCGTCCTAGCGGAACGGGCGCATCCTCCCAGGAGCGATTCCAGTCCTGAGTTCTTGAACGAAAAAGCCAAGCAAAATGGATCACAACCAACCCAAATTTAATGTTAATGATTGTTAATGATTGTTAATGGTCAATTAATGATTGTTAATGGTTAATTAATGATGGTTAATGCTTAATTAATGGATAATGATTGTTAAATGGTTAATGATGGTTAACGAATTGTTATATAATGGTAAATGATTGTTAATGGTGGAAGATATGAATCAAAATGTGATGCTCAATGATTGCAATCATGGTTTTGTTTTGCATAGAAATGACCCAATGAAAATTTGCTGATGATTCATGTTTGCAAGTACAAAAAAGGTGTAATCCTTCCCCCTAGCCCCAGAACTGGGGGTGGATCCCACGTAGTAAGTGATGAAACGCCCATATATTGCTGCGCTAAAATTCAAAACTGGGATATGTCATTATATTACCCACTTCGTAACTGATTATTTGGTTTGGGCCTCAATAGGCCGAGGGGCGCCGGAGATTACCGTCCTGTCTCACATGTGGAGAACCACCAATTGTAATTACATCATATTCCTATAGGGAAACCATTGGTTTTCCATCTTGATTTACCCCATTGTAGATCAAGTAAGATGTGGAGAACCCCACATGTAGATCAGATCCTTTTCCTAGGGAAAACCCATGGGGTTTTCCATGTTTTTCCATGGTTTTTTCCCCATCCACGGTTAGTTGACCCACCAGTCACCAAGGCGCGGGTAGGCCACCGGCGCCATGTAAGTCCCGCGCCACTTGGAGGCACAGCTGCTTGGAGCGGTTCACAGCATCCACGGGGAACTCGCCTAAGGCTTCGCTCAACTGGCGAGTTTACTGGGGAGTTTCAGAAACATCAAAATGATTATGGGTTTTAACCAGTGGATGAAAATATCATAATCATTCATGTTATAAAACATCGGCAAAACCATCAAACATGGGTTTTAATAACATGAATAACATGAATGATTATGATTATGATATTATGATATGATATGATATGATTATGATAATGTTATGATTGTAATGGGTTTGAATAACATGAATGATTATGATATGATACGCGCATGATATGATGATTTTTGAGCAACTTGAAAATTGCTGTTTAAATGAGAAAAAGTCAAAGGTTTTGCCAAACAAAAATGGCGGCTGAACCAGCCAAAATAGAAATATACAAGTGGGTTGATGGTGTTAAAATATAGTGGTTCAACATGGTGTAACCAACAAACAATGTTCTAAGCATAAAATGTATCCTAATCATATTTAAGTAACAAACATGTGTGGTTTAAGCAGCAAACATGTGGGTTGACCATTGACCATTGAGCTTCAAAATGTTGACCATTGACAATCAAACGGTATAAATTTACTGGGATTCTCATCCCATGTCCCGTGGCTAACCAGCCATCTATGACTCAAATTTGGACCCATGAATTCCTGAAATTCTTTGAATCTTGGAGTTCAAAAGGTACACATATGTCTTTCGGTAACAAGAGATTCCCCAGTCCTGGTCCATCAAGTTGCAAAATTAATATATATATATATAAACATTTTTAAAAAAAAACAGATCCGCAAATCATCAAATCCATAAATTCCCCAAGTTTGGAACCCATTTCCCCCCATATTTGTTGAAAAAAACACAATTTCATCCCATATACAGTAAATGGCACGGAAAAACTAGCAGAACGCACCTCGCAGGTCGGACGGATGCAACCTCTCCAGGGCCACGTAGGTCTGGAGGAACCTGTCACAGGTTCATCCTCTTATATGATATTAATGGATATAATAAACGTATAATGGTTATAATGGTTAAATATTATTATTATTATGGCTATAATGGTTATAATGTTAATGGCAAAACATTTTTCTGGTTATAATGGTTATAATGGTTAATAGATACAATTGGGATATTTCATGGGGGTATGATGGGAATAGTTTAATGATAAAGTGTGGTTTTAACCTAGATAACCAAGTTGGTCTACAATTTGCTTCGGGTTTTCCTGGAGGATACAACGAGACTTAGAGTTTTCCGAAATAAGTGGAACCTGGGCTCCACCATCTGGCGAAAAACTGGTCCAGTTTAGTTCAAGTCTTTTCAACGGTGCAAAAAATAGCCATGTTTGATGGTGAAATCCCACTCAAAAAAATCGTGCCTGGTGTATGCCCAATTTATACGGTATATTCCCATTCAATCAGTACAGTCCGATTTAAATTCCCATGAAATACCATTCAAAAGAATTTCAGTCCACTCAAAACATCTTCAAATCCGACCAAAATGGTGATCGTGTACTAAACATCTACCGTAATTTCTTGCTGGGTTACCTTCATAATCATATGTACCTTCATATACCCTCCGGTCATCAAACATCGAGCGCTGGAAAAACCCCATGTTCAGGAATCTCCCAAAGATAATTTCCCATGTTTGATGACACTGAAGGCTATCCCATCCCATTGGTTGTTGGATACTTAAAAAAACACACATATATATATACATATGATAATCATATATATATATATATATATACATATGATAATCATATATATATATATGTGCGTGAGTGTGAGTGTGAGTGTGTGTGTGTGTGTGTACACTGCTATTCACATGCAGAAAACTACAACTGGACATTTGATGACTATGCACGTCATGTTTTCCGAATTCATGCGCCAAAGACTATGCACGTTATGTTTTCCGAATTCATGCGCCAAAGACTACTTAACAGCAGGGGGCTGCAGGGAATGTCATAGTTCTGCAGCCAACGAAGACGGCTATGACATTCTGTGATATCGATCCGGGACGCTGGATCGACGTACCTGCCTAATCATGTCTTTCCATTTCCGCGATGGGATGTGGCTAACCCAAGAACCACCTTGCCGATTAATGATTTGGACCTGGTTTCACCTGTTTATCAAGGATGATGGACTCAGGATTCTATCAGGCATGTACAACCACATCGTCATTGCAGTTCACTTCCAAAAATCAACAGTGTGCATTAGTCATGTGTCCTATACAGACCATGACCTCATCATCCCTAATGGGGAAGAACAATCTTGGCATAGTGTGCCGAATCCGCCCTCTACGGAGGCAGAAGTTGAGCGAGTAGCCATAGGGGCTGCTAGAAGTGATGGCAATAGCCGAAGGGGGGTCAAGGACAATTGAAGGGTGGCATAAGCCGAAGGAGTGCCCAACGGGCGAATGGTGCCCATAGGGCGAAGGTGGCCATGTGCCGAAGGATTTTATTGGCCGGGAACCCTACTTCTTACTGTCATTTTATGAGTTTTCACCTTCTCTTTCAAATCAATTTACAATTGTGAGGACAAGAGATCAATTTGAAGAGATCTAGAATATAGGAAGACCTATCACAAAAGTGTGCGGACACACATAGTTTGTGATGCTCGAACCAAGCAGAATGTCAAACACGGTAGGGACCTTATCGCTGCAGATGTGTGTACGATCTTGATTCATGTTTTCGAGGTTTTCTACTGAGCGAACACTTCAAACCAATCCAATAATTGAGACCATAGTCTTGTGAAGTACCTCCTTCGCCATAGCTTATTTTCACTGGGATGTGTTAGCTACCGACAGATACAAGGCGCATCTATGGGCTCACAGTGGGCCCCAGTTGTATGTTCACTAGTTGCCCTACATCGAGAGCACACCTACAGCATGCCTTTTGGACAAGCCATTTTTTCTGGAAAACTTTTTAGTTCCTTTCGTTATGTTGACAACCGTCTGCTTTTGGGTCCACAACAACTCACTGATCGCCTTCGACAAACTTGCTTTTGGAATTTAGACTTCTACACCTCGCCCATTCTTTTGGAAGAAGTACAGGGTTTTGATGCACTTGGATTCAACATCAATCCACATCAACGTACCATTACATCGGTATTGCCTTGGGACACAGTGATACGCACTTCCGCTGGTTTTGGACCTAGAAGCTCCATGTATACAGGTCTCATTGCTCGAACACGTCTAATTTTACAAAATACTTTTCCTCGTGAACTTCAACTTCCTCAAGTTCAAGACCTGCTCGCCCTTCATACCCTTCAGGAACCTAGATACCGCGAATGCATTCCTCAGATCATTTCGATTGCCCGCAGTTTTGGACACAAATGGACCAGACAACAATTGACACCGTTTGACTGAAAAGAAGCCGTTGTAGCTGCATTTTGGTTTTGTGCTTTTCATTCCAATTGCAACTTTGCAACTGTTCAAACGTTTTTCTGCAACATCCCACCCAAAACGCCTGGCTCGCAGTGTGATATTTGTTTTTCCGTAATTGATTATATTCAGTTCTCCAGCTTAGTTTACGTCCGTTGTTCTACTCTATATGGTTCACGGTACTGCAACACACTGGCTTAAGTGTTATATAACTGTGATTTAATCAATCCATTTACTGTTTTTCATCACTGCGTTCTATCTCAACCACCTGACCTACGTGTTCTACGCGTCGGAATCTCAGTTTTTGGCGAATTCTGCCCTTCGTCCATAGACAACTAATAAACGTTCATTTTAAACGGATTTGTGGAAGAACAAGAATACAATCGATTTGTGTCCATTTCATTTCGTGGTATCCATGTTTCAATTGAAGTGCAGTTCTCTTCACTTTTTAACACTCCAAAGTCATACTGTCCTTGCTCTATTTGTTCCACGCGTCGGCAACCCAGAAGTGTCACCTTCCTTATGAAGACATATGTATATATGTGTATACCGCTCTCCACACGCAAAGTGTTGCGCAATCTGCAACAAACAATTGATGTTCGTGAGGGACAAGGGCACGATAACTTTGGATTGCATCATATTCAATTATTTCGCTAATACAAACTTTGGATTGCATCATATTCAATCATTTCGCCAATAACAATTAACACCTTTTAATCTAACCATGTCCTTTCCATTTCGACTTTATTTATCGCGATTTCTTTGATCTACGTGGTCTACTTGCTCTACACGCAGTCTTTCAGAATTTGCCTTCCATGTGAAGGGGGTGCCCAACGGGCGAATGGTGCCCATAGGGCGAAGGTGGCCATGTGCCGAAGGATTTTATTGGCCGGGAACCCTACTTCTTACTGTCATTTTATGAGTTTTCACCTTCTCTTTCAAATCAATTTACAATTGTGAGGACAAGAGATCAATTTGAAGAGATCTAGAATATAGGAAGACCTATCACAAAAGTGTGCGGACACACATAGTTTGTGATGCTCGAACCAAGCAGAATGTCAAACACGGTAGGGACCTTATCGCTGCAGATGTGTGTACGATCTTGATTCATGTTTTCGAGGTTTTCTACTGAGCGAACACTTCAAACCAATCCAATAATTGAGACCATAGTCTTGTGAAGTACCTCCTTCGCCATAGCTTATTTTCACTGGGATGTGTTAGCTACCGACAGATACAAGGCGCATCTATGGGCTCACAGTGGGCCCCAGTTGTATGTTCACTAGTTGCCCTACATCGAGAGCACACCTACAGCATGCCTTTTGGACAAGCCATTTTTTCTGGAAAACTTTTTAGTTCCTTTCGTTATGTTGACAACCGTCTGCTTTTGGGTCCACAACAACTCACTGATCGCCTTCGACAAACTTGCTTTTGGAATTTAGACTTCTACACCTCGCCCATTCTTTTGGAAGAAGTACAGGGTTTTGATGCACTTGGATTCAACATCAATCCACATCAACGTACCATTACATCGGTATTGCCTTGGGACACAGTGATACGCACTTCCGCTGGTTTTGGACCTAGAAGCTCCATGTATACAGGTCTCATTGCTCGAACACGTCTAATTTTACAAAATACTTTTCCTCGTGAACTTCAACTTCCTCAAGTTCAAGACCTGCTCGCCCTTCATACCCTTCAGGAACCTAGATACCGCGAATGCATTCCTCAGATCATTTCGATTGCCCGTAGTTTTGGACACAAATGGACCAGACAACAATTGACACCGTTTGACTGAAAAGAAGCCGTCGTAGCTGCATTTTGGTTTTGTGCTTTTCATTCCAATTGCAACTTTGCAACTGTTCAAACGTTTTCTGCAACATCCCACCCAAAACGCCTGGCTCGCAGTGTGATATTTGTTTTCCTTAATTGATTATATTCAGTTCTCCAGCTTAGTTTACGTCCGTTGTTCTACTCTATATGGTTCACGGTACTGCAACACACTGGCTTAAGTGTTATATAACTGTGATTTAATCAATCCATTTACTGTTTTTCATCACTGCGTTCTATCTCAACCACCTGACCTACGTGTTCTACGCGTCGGAATCTCAGTTTTTGGCGAATTCTGCCCTTCGTCCATAGACAACTAATAAACGTTCATTTTAAACGGATTTGTGGAAGAACAAGAATACAATCGATTTGTGTCCATTTCATTTCGTGGTATCCATGTTTCAATTGAAGTGCAGTTCTCTTCACTTTTTAACACTCCAAAGTCATACTGTCCTTGCTCTATTTGTTCCACGCGTCGGCAACCCAGAAGTGTCACCTTCCTTATGAAGACATATGTATATATGTGTATACCGCTCTCCACACGCAAAGTGTTGCGCAATCTGCAACAAACAATTGATGTTCGTGAGGGACAAGGGCACGATAACTTTGGATTGCATCATATTCAATTATTTCGCTAATACAAACTTTGGATTGCATCATATTCAATCATTTCGCCAATAACAATTAACACCTTTTAATCTAACCATGTCCTTTCCATTTCGACTTTATTTATCGCGATTTCTTTGATCTACGTGGTCTACTTGCTCTACACGCCGCTACCTCAGAGTGCCTTCTTTGGAAAGACCTGTCCATGAAGATGCAGGTGCGTATACACCTAATCCCAAGCATGAATTTCATTTTCGAATGAGTTCAACGTTGCTTATATTGACGTGATCTGCTTGCTTCATTAGGCAGTCTTTCAGAATTTGCCTTCCATGTGAAGGCCTTTGTGTGTGTGTACACTGCTATTCACATGCAGAAAACTACAACTGGACATTTGATGACTATGCACGTTATGTTTTCCGAATTCATGCGCCAAAGACTATGCACGTTATGTTTTCCGAATTCATGCGCCAAAGACTACTTAACAGCAGGGGGCTGCAGGGAATGTCATAGTTCTGCAGCCAACGAAGACGGCTATGACATTCTGTGATATCGATCCGGGACGCTGGATCGACGTACCTGCCTAATCATGTCTTTCCATTTCCGCGATGGGATGTGGCTAACCCAAGAACCACCTTGCCGATTAATGATTTGGACCTGGTTTCACCTGTTTATCAAGGATGATGGACTCAGGATTCTATCAGGCATGTACAACCACATCGTCATTGCAGTTCACTTCCAAAAATCAACAGTGTGTGTGTGTGTGTTCCATGAATCATGATATATACAATCATTATCACTACTAAAAGTTGTACTGGGATTAAGAATACCAATGCATCACCAGTTGCTATCGTGTTTTTGGTTGCAGTTATATTCAAAGTAATTGAATATCATTGGAGCCATGATAAATAGCATTATTATTCACCATTAAGTGATACCATTCTATTTGGGATAATTTCATTTTAAACATATTTTTGTGATTGCTGACATCCAGATATCAACGTTGCAAATGATGACAAATGCTTGTACCCCCTGACAATCAAACATTGCTTGGAAAATAATGTTTCCTTTATAGCTGGTTGGAGGTTTCAACATGTTTCAACCCTCTGAAATATGAGTTCGTCAGTTGGGATGATGACATTCCCAATCTATGGAAAGTCATAATCCATTCCATGGTTCCAAACCACCAACCAGTGAAGTGATTATTAACATTTATTAACCATCATTAATCATCATTACCCCATACTAAACCAATGTTCCAAACCACCAACCAGTATATCATCAGTATACCAACCATGGTTCATAGGTATTAATGGTGATTAATGGTTCCAAACCACCAACCAAATAGGAAACGATTTCCATATATTTCCATAAGGAAACTGCCCATGTGCCCCGTCCGCGCCTGGCCCCCCGTCGTCCTCCGCCCAGCACCGCCGCCTCCATGGCCCTCCGCCGCGGCCGCGGCAGCGGCGCCAGCGGCACCGGCGCCGTCGTGTCGGCGCCGGAGACGCGGAGCCATTCCTCGGCGCCGCCGCAGAAGGTCCAGGTCCTGAACGAAAAACGCCGTGGTTCGTGGCGTCCACGGTGAAAGGTGTTGAACTGGGCAAGTCGTGGTGCTTGAACTTGGGTTTCCCCATAGATTTTTATATGTTTTTTTACATATCAAGGAAAAATGGCGGCTGAACTATAGCCAAATCATAAAAGGGCACTAGTCCATACCTATGTTGAACTTGTCCCATGATCAATCGGGATTCAAATCACCAGTTAATGTTCCAACAAAATCCCCTCCCCCTACTCTTAAACAACCCCTTAGAAACCATGGTTTTGTCCGGAAATTCTACACCATTGGGACCATAGATTGTTTTTTTTAATGTAAGACCACATTGGATTATCATCCATTATATCACAATATCAGTTTTATTACCATGATATTTCCCATGATATCAGTTGTATTACAATGATTAAGATGGTTCCAATCCCATGGAAAATTCCATTAAATCCCATTGCATATCATTAAATCACATTGAATCCCATTAAATAGCTATTGAACTCCATTAAATCCCACTTAAATCCCATGTCATATCATTAAATCACATTAAATCCCATTAAATAGCGGTTAAAATCCCATTAAATCCCATTAAATAGCTATTAAACAGCTATTAAATCCCATGAAATTCCATGAAATTCCATTAGGTCACATTAAAAAAAAAAAACATTTTTCCGGCAGTTTTTCCGGTCCGGGTGTCTTGTTCCCGTCCAAGGATGGCAGCTCCGGCAGATTCCATTCCGCTTGCTGCCGCATCACCTGGCATTCCGAAACCAGCCGTGACTTAAAAACCACCGGAAAACCAAACAGAGTTAATATAATATATGGTTAATAGATGGATATATATATATATGTGTGTGTGTGTTAATAATGTTAATAATGGTTAATATATATATATATATATGGTTAACAATGGTTAACATGGTTTTTTGATTTTTATATACCATTTTAGATCCAATTTTATCCCATGAATTAACCGTGATATCCAATTTAATTATTAACCATTATGTCCCATTATATCCCATTATAGCCTTACTGGTTGGTGGCTGAGCCTACCCCTCTGAAAAATATGACTTCGTCAGTTGGGATGATGACATCCCCAATATATGAAATGGAAAATAAAATTCATGTTTGAAACCACCAACCGGTAATTTACTGGCAATGGAATATGTGGAATATATGAATGTGATATAATGTACTTGTGTCAAATAGATTCATTTAGCCATATGTAGCCATGTTTAGCCAATTATGGATGAGTTGACCACAGAAGGCAAAAAATAGAAACCGCCATGGACGCAACCTCCGTTTAGATTCGGAGATAACCACGTATGGAGCCAACCCCCGAATGCTGCACCATGGTTCACCTTCTTACATCTGGGGATTACTATCAGTGGCCTGGGTAACTCCTTAGTTTTCAATCAGAAAATCCTACGTATACTTCCCATCACAAGGAAGACAGGGAAAGGTGCGTCTCTGTTCGGAAAAGGCTGCGCTTCGAAAAATTGGGAATATACCCGAAGTTGTTGACTTTTTGACTATCAATTTTGTATCAAATCATTAAAATTCCATCCATTTTGGGAGGTCCATGGTGAATCCTGACGCCGAGTACGGCCCCAAATCCTACAATTCGATTCTCCAAAAGCCATCCAAAAACCCCAAATCCAGAACTGGATTCCATCCAAAACGGCCCAAGTCACCATCAAATACTGCAGATCTCCCTCTTGCCGCGCGCGCATCTCTGCGAAGAGCTGTCCTGAAAGAGGTTCTGAAACAGGTTCGGCCTCCTGAAGCATCGAAGATCTGGATTTCTCGGCCATGGCTTCTTTTGAGGCTATAAATCTCTACCGTTTGATCAGGGATTCAAGATGTTTAAACTAAATTTGGGCAAATTAAATAAGGAAACAAAAATAGTAAATGGAGTAAATGGAACAAAAAACATGTTCCATTCAGCGTACATGTGTTCCCCTTATATAGGGTTGTCTCAAAATTGAAACCCGAATGTGGTTTTATCCTCTACTTGATGGGGCCCTGGAGTTTGAACAGTGGCCAGTTATAAGGCATCTAAGCCAATTACATCCAATCCCGTAGTAAATGTACATGTAGTAATAACATCTAGATGTTTCTATTTGGCAAAGTATCACATGTCACATGAAACCATAAACCCTAAACCAGATTTCACTATCCATTTGCTGTATCCCGTTGATAGTTATTTACCCACGACGTCCCATGTTTCATGGTTAAATCTCCCAAAGAATCACATCTAGATCCCAACTATTTAGTTTCAAAAGTATCACATTCTCCCTGTTTTCCCACTATCACATGAAGATTTACCCAGTATGTCCAAATGTTTGTCCCAGCATTTTTCCATAGTTTTTCCATATTTTTCCATGGGATTCCACCCATTTTTCCTCCTCGCGCTGCAACGGCGCCGCCGTCACCGCGGCGCGGCGGTCGAAGGTAGCGAAGGTCTGGGGACGGCGCCAGTGGAGGGACCAGAAGTGGAGCAAATCCTCTCCTGGGGAAGTTCTGGTGGATGGTTAGTAGATAGTGATATCGTAGTTATATAGTTACTAAATATTTTATATGTTATAGTTATAAAAATTAGTTATATCATATTATATCAATATTATTATATCACTAGTTAGTATATATTATTAGTGATACAACTTGTGATATGTGTTCTATGGTTAGAATATCGTTGGATCAATATAACTAATGTGATATAATAATGATAGCAATATAGTTAGTAATATCGTTGTTAGATCACAATAGTAGTATCGCTAATCATAGTAATATCGTTAATAATAGTACTATCGATGGTAATACTAGTGATATAATAATGATAGTAATAATATATATATAGTACTATCGTTAGTATCACAATACAGTTTTATAGTTATATGTTAATATGTTAATATGTTAATGTAGTATTATAGTAGTATAGTAGTATAGTAATATAGCATTATAATAGTATAGTATTATAGTAGTATAGTAATATAGTAATATAGTAATATAGTAACATAGTAATATAGTAATATAGTAGTATAGTAATATAGTAATATAGTAATATAGTAGTATAGTTATAGTTATAGTATAGTTGATGGCTACAGTTAGGTTTTGACCATATGCCATGGTTATAAAACTAATAATTGTCATAGATGGTTTTACCATAGTATCACAATATAATGGTTATAATGATTATAATCATCGAATGTCATATAGAAACCATTAAGCATTATACTATGTCATTTGATAATGGATAGTAGAATAACGGTTAATGGTTAAGACCTATAGATCATGGTTGATATGATAGTTATAGGTATGGTTATAGTATTGGGTTGTACATACAATGGTGAATGGTTAATCACTCTGATATAGATGGTTATAGTTATTGATGGTTCTGGTCATAGGTGATTCGTTTATAGTGATATTGTAGTAGTACATATAGTAATATAGCGATATTGTAGTAATACATATTATGTAATATAGCTAGTACAAGGTTTAAACCCTGATTCGGATAATTCATCATATAGTGCTTATAAAGCCCAACATGGGATTTCGGCTGAACCATGGACCTTAGGCAGGTGGCCTGGTGGCCTCGCTGCTAACCCAACATGGGTGGCACAGGCACTGGCTTTGAACTCACTGATGACATGCTGTAATGGCTTTGATGGATGCTTAGATCCTGATTAATGGTGTTTGAATGCTAGTTGCAATGGTTAATGGTTCATCGCTATAGTATAGTGATAATGACTACAGTATGTGACAATATGGTTGTGGCAATATAGTAATAGAAACTATAACCGTTTATGCTTGGTAGAATAGTTTCATGGTTAGTATGGTGTCTTACTGTGATTATGATGGCTGTAAATTATGGTTACTATCATTGTTAATGGCTATACACTGTGGTTATATAATGGTTAATGACTATATAGCAGTTATAAATAATAGTCATCATTATTCATGATGGTTATGCTTATCATCACAAAAAGTGATAATAACTCTCATGTCTAAATGATGATCATGCAATGGCTACATAATGGGGTTCTATAATGGTTATATAATGGGTTTTAGGAATTATATTATGAATATCATAGTGTGATTATGATGCTTACTGAAGATAACGAAACTATACTAGTATGAATGATCTGATGGTTAGACGAAAGTACGTGTTATTGTGGTTTTAATGGCTATATTTATTATCGGTGTGAAATAATTGTTATAGTTTCTTGTAATATGGTCACGATCGTTACAATGGTATTGAAGTGACCTGATTATGAAAGGCGGGCTATAGTTATCACTAAAATATAGTGATAATAACGCTAGTATGGTTACAGTAATATAATATCATATAGTAATGAGGTAATATAGTATATTTACTATAATGTGCCATTTATGGTTGGTAGAACATGTTCTATAGCGGTTACAATGGTCGTATAATAGTTACAGACCTTGCTATATTACAACTTTAACATGTTCATGATGGCTATTGTTACCCGATGATTATACTTCTTGCATGTTATTACGGATATGATACCATGGTTTGTAGGAATGTACTGTTGCAATTATAGAGCAACTATGGTCGTTATGATGGTGATGATTGTGGGATATGGCAATGCTAATGGTGACAAACAGGTTATAATATGGTTTTTCTATGAATTAGTCATGTCATTGCCTGTCATTGTGGCTATTGCAGTCACGATGACTATTACTATATTACCATTTATATATATACTGGTTAATATCATAATGGTGACCCCTCATACCTCATAGTTGCTGATGATTCACATAATAGTCCATATATACAGTAATTATATGCAGTGACAGTAAGTCATGAGGTCAAAAACAAATCTATGCAGATGTCTGGAAAAAGAAAACTTCACATGTTTAGTATGGCTTGACCAACTTATAGGCCACCATTCCCTCCATACCATTCCCTCGTCGTGAAAAACCCAGCGGCTCTCAGTGCCGTTCATCGGCCGCGAAGCATCGGCAGCTCCTGCCGCGCTGGCCGCGCTGGCCGCGCTGGCCGCAGCGGCGCGCTCCAGGAACTCAGCGCGCTCCAGGCCTTTGAATATGATGAGGGTATGTCTGAATATGATTTCAACAAAAATGACTTGGAAGTACCCTATTTTCAGCCGAAGCCTTCTATAGGGATTCAAAAAAAGATCGCCTCCACCAGTTCGTAGTGATCATGCACAATTAAGCGAACGGGGTAATCCATGAGTCATTGGGATTATCTCGGAAGGATTTACCCGTCAAAAACAATGGTATTAATTATATTGGTTTCCGTGTCGAACTTCAGTGTAGATCAGAGAAGTAATACTTATATAAGTCCTTTGGGGTGCTCCCAACAGCCCTGCAGTAAGTGAAAATAACTTACCTATAATTAATGGGTTGAACCCCAATTATAGCTGGTTGGTAAATGATGGTAAATGGGTATCTTGAAACCCCGAATAAACCACTTACAAAGGTTAATACCCCCGCCCCGTTGATTATGGTGTTCGGATACCCCCTAGATTCACCCATCAACAGAGCTATCTCCCGGAGTTGTTCAAGGAACCAACAAAAACATTAAAAAAACATAGTCCCAACCATGAATTCCCCAAATAATGTGGGTAAAACAATGTCATGTATACCATCCCCCAGTCACCATTTTCATAGGCGGTATAAACTTACCATTCCCAGGAAAATGGGTGGTTTATAACTTTATAACATGGTTTTACCCACATTGATGGATTTACCAATGGAAAAACACAAAAAATACGAATCTTCAGCCAGTCCAGGTATGTTTCATTCAATGGGAATTTCAGGATCCTAAAATGGAGGTACTGTACCATATAAATCCATATAAGACCATTATATTTTATGGGGATGTTCCCTTACATAGGCCTAAAACATAGGCCTTATATATGGTACGTACCTCCAATCAATCGGTTCCTAAAATGGCCATTGATTCATGGCAAAAAAGATTCTCCGTTGATCCCCGCTTTGCCATAAATTGCCACCAAAGTGCCAAGGTGCTCTGAGAAATCCTCCAGGTTCTCCAACACTTCGTCCTCAGGTCTAGCGGTTCGTAGGGCGACAGTCCACCCAGTTACCCTCTGGTAGTAATAACTAACATAGCTATTGAAAATGGCCATTTATAGTGGATTTACCCATTAAAGATAGTGATTTTCCATAGCTATGTAAACGTTTGCCAGAGGGTAACTGGCGGTGAACTAACTGACTAGGATGAGCCGCTTTATCTAGGCACCTTGCAAGAGATCAGTTTCTGAGCTGGTTAGGGCGATATATAGTTCCATTCATAGAAATGACATGAAATAACAGGATGAAACTAGGTACACGGCTCACAGGCGGCTGTGAGGAATTCAGCACACCAGCAATGCTGAGCATTTGTTTTTCTGCTGATTTACAGGGGTCAGAGCATTCCAGTCCATTTTGGATCTTTCACGCAGCCGTGCCATTGGTTAAAGCGGCTTCATCTCGTAATTAGATGGGGAAAAATATGTTTTTTAGTCATTTTGCAATGCAGTCAAACTATTTGTTTCAGTGGATGAAGCCGTCATTGAAAGTCATGATATTTCTTCAGCAGATCGACAAGGCATGACATCAATTCTTTGGGAGAACACGGCAAAATTGTTTGACGCCACATCCATTGCTGGATCATTGAATGCACACCTTGACTCATTTTGTGATGGCCATTTCTCTTTTAAGCGCAGCAGCAAGTCCAAGAGAATATCTTTGTAAGGCGGGCAGCCAAGAACGTTATCAACCCCCCCCCAAACCCCCCCAACCCCCCCCAAGAAACAACAATGCAAAAATCAAGAGCGTCTTGCAAGTGACAAGAAGAAGTTGATAGCGTGTGCCAGGGTACGGTGCAAGAGAAGAGTGGATAGCGTAGCAGCAAGTCCAAGAGAATATCTTGTAAGGCGGGCAGCCAAGAACGTTATCAGCCCCCCCAAAACCACCCAAAACCACCCAAAACCCACGGCCGTCTATAAGCCGTGGTCCAACTACCTACCCTCTGGTAAACGTTTACATAGCTATGGAAAATCACTATTTTAATGGGTAAATCCACTATAAATGGCCATGTTCAATAGCAAACTGTTAGTCATTACCAGAGGGTATCTAAGGCTGACCCAGTAATTTGTTCGAATCGTTGATCGATGGTTGAGCATGTTGAGCCATTAAAATACCAATCGAGGACTGACGACTCATCGTCCCTGGTATGTTTTAAACTTGGTATGGTACAATATCTGAAAGCACCTAAGAAGATGGTGGTTTACCAATTAACTGTAATTAACTACGGAAATCCATCTATAAAAGTGGAGTAAGAATGGAATATTTTTCTGAATATCTTCAGTGAAACTTGGGGCAATCTGCTTCTTGCTGTTCAGATATTCAATCGGCTTAGGTAACCCCACTTGAACGATTTACCCTCTGGTAATAACTAACATAGCTATTGAAAATGGCCATTTATAGTGGATTTTCCAATTAAAAATTGTGATTTTCCAGTTCGCTATGTTAGTCATTACCAGAGGGTAAGCATTTGTTTACTCATCGAAATGGCGTCTCTTCACTGTAGTTACTACAAGCTGATTGCGCCAGGTCTCTAGATCGCAGGCACCCATCTCCTCGGCCCACATCATGGCCTCCGGGGATCAGCTATGGCGGCACCACTAGAACTATGTTGCTATGTTCAGAATTGACCATTCAATTCTAGAATTGACCACCATCAATGTCCATAAATCCTAGGTTGAATATGATAAATGTGAACAAATGTCATAAACATGTTTTTTTACCAGGTTTACCTATCTTGAGGCTCCCGCATTTTGCAGGATGTCGCGATCCTACCCTATCCACCGGTCAAACGCAAACGAGCTTTGGAGTAAATTTCTTCATCCCAGATCCTTCCTTTGGGCAAATACCAATCAATGGATTCGTTTAAGGGAAAATATTAACCGGAAACCATGGATTTTACCATCAAATTTGATAGCTTTTCCGGTTAAAAAATGTTCCCATCATCTTCTATGAACCAATTGACATAACTGTAGTTTCATTCTATCCAAGTCTGGGCAAAAATGGGGCAAGTCTGGGCCAATGATTCTGGGGTGGTGTCCCCTGCTCAATGTATTCCCATCGTTCCATCGTTTCGAGATGTTTCGAGGTCGCCGTGAATTTACTTGGAGAATTCGATTGCGTTTTCTCCATCTCTCTCAGTACCCTCTGGTAATGACTAACATAGCGAACTGGAAAATCCACCAATTTGTATGGGAAAATCCACTATTTCTATGGCAATTTTCAATAGCTATGTTAAATTACCAGAGGGTATTTGTTGTTTCAATGATGGAGTATACCCAAACTATCCAGGTCTAAGTCATGCCCGATATTTTGTTAAAATGTTGCTCTAATCAGACTCTAATTTCAATTCCTGCAACACAGGTTCTCCCCATGTCCTCATTTGTTCCATGTTGAAGCCCAAACTTAGGAATATTTCATCTTCACTTTCTATTCATTTTCAGTAAACCCAACAGAGATATTTAATAGACCCTAAAGATATTTAACAGATTTTCCCATGGCCATGGATTCAGTGTTGGACTTTCAAAAAACACAAAAAGCACCAGAGCTGTGAATGTGTACCGTGAGAAACCGTCAGCCGGTACCAGAGCTGCATTGGAAAACTCGGAACTTTGCGGTGAGACCGGGTTTTCCATTTTGAGTGATAGACTGATAGATAAAGAGATCTAAAATATGATCATACAACAGTATTGAATTCTTCATACTATTATTATTGTATATTATTGTTACCATTACCATTATGAAAATATGATGCGTAATGTCTAGTTCTACCATCAGTCAGCCCATCCCCCTATCCCTTCGGCGCCAGGCACTGCGCCAGCGCGCCTGATGTGTGTAGTCCTCCAGGTTCAGTTCTCTCAGCCAGCTTCTCAAGCCCAGCACGGGGCCATCGCGACCCTTCGCCAGAACGGCCTGCAGGAAGGGAAAGGTGGATGGGAACGGTGGGTGGTTTTTATAAACTTCACATGGTTTTAAAAAAAATGCTAAGGGGATTGCCTAAAACCTCTATGAACAAGATTAAACAAGCTATAACCCTTAGATAAGCCATAATTCAGTGGGGATATTCCACGTGTAAGTGGGATATAAGGTGGTCATTACATGTACCCTTTGACGATTGCTGGGTCCTGCACCCCCGGATGGAGATCCGACTTGCCCAAGGACCAGTTGGAGGTGGTATCTACAACCCATTCTTGGCTTTAACGTTGTTAAAACAATCATTAACCATCCCCAAGTCATCACCAGAAATAGATAGGATAGACCATCAATTTAATATGGGTCGGTGTATTATTGTTTTACCCACATTACAACATTATCAGTGATTCGCAGCATTTCGCAACGCTTTGTGAATAGTTGCCTTTTGCTCAATAGAAAATCAGGAAAGATGCACTCTTTCACTTGTTCTAGAGTCTATTTTCTTGCAGAATACCCCAAAACAAATGACCCACTGATTGATACTACGGAGTATCTGACACTTCTCAAACAGTTGTTGTTGTTTTTTTCCAACAGACGACCATTAACAAAAATGCAAGTTTTAGCTGAGTACTCCCATCCCACTAATGTTAAACATTCCTAAATGATCTCAAATATGGGTAAATCATGGTAAATCCCTACTAAACCATGGTTTCTGGGGGATGTTTAATATTTGGATGGATGGGATTATTTGGCCTTTTTTCCAATTTAAATTGCGAAAAATCCATCAACCAATGTCATCCAAGCACAGCTTGATCCGTGCGGGAAGTCACCCAAAAAAGGTAGCTGGTAGCAACAAGGGGTAACCACAACAAACCGGAACTGGGATATATAGACTTGATGATTGTGACTTTATGTTTATGACTGGGGAGAAATCCTGGGTCAATGAAGTTCTGATGCTTGTGGTGATATCCCAACGAGTGACAGCTCATCATATAGCCTGATTATGAAGTTATCACGATTCATTGGATTTTCCCAAACGTCATAATCATTCAACCAATAACCAACTGATACAATATTCATCAATATTCAACTGTTATGAAATGGATATGACCAGCAAGAATTGATAGTTATGACTTTGGGGAAAATCTCAGCAATGCATCTCTCACCAATTTCTGGCTGAAATAAAGGCCATGCAGGGATGATTTCCCAATCATAATTCATGGTGACATAGCTGTGAGGTCATGTGAAGTCATTTGCCAATTTTTCAGCTAGATTTCATATCCCTCGATGGGGAGAAATCCTGCACCACCGATTTCAGATGGTTGAAAGCCTATAAATATTGGAATAAACCACCTATCAACTGGTGCAGGATTTCTTCCACAGTATTTCCGAAGTCAGATTCCACGAAACTGTTCTCCGGTTCCAAAACCGCTAAACCGCTTCGGTTTTCCAAAACCGGCCGGATGACACGCAGGCGGCTTCAGCCGGATGGGGTTCACCAACGAACTTCTTCAGTTCACCCAGATTCACCCATATTCAAAGCCAACAGTATGAATCATCCAATTTAGCACCATTCATCTTAGATTGAAACAACCATGTGACATCCGCGTGATCATCCACCATCCCCATTTTTTGTTAATCCATGAAATTCCCAAGTGTATCCCTATCATTTGAGCCATTAAAAATACCCCTATCCCATCTCATACTAGTTTGATTCCCAGAGGTTATCACAATCCCCAATAAATGAGCATCCGTATAAGTCCCAACAAATCCACCCAATCAGTATCAACCAAGCTATTTCCTTATACCCCAAAAGTTCCCTATATATTATAGTTAATCCCAGATCCCAATAATTCCCTATCAAAACCAAAAAGTTCCCTATGGTTAATCCCTATAAATTCCGAAAAAAAAAACAAGAAATTCCCCAATTCCTGGTTCCAAAATTGGAAACATCCCTCCGTCTCCTGGTAGCTGTCGAAGAACTGCCTCTCGGAGACCTCCGAAGCCCTCCGCAGCAGCTCTTCCAACTCCTGGCACCCGGTGGGTCTTCAAAAAGGGGGGACCTTGGGCAAGGGATCTTTGGAAGATGTGTTATTTACATTTATTTTTTGGCATGATGTAGCTAAGTTATGGTTTAAGATGGTCGAAGTCACTCACATTTTGCGATTAAGGTGAAAATCGAAAGAGAGAGAAGGAGAGAGAGAGAGATGATTATGTATATATATATATAATTATATATGTATACATGCATATATGCAGTATCTCCAAAGTTGATTGTTGCCCTGTGCTAATTTGTTACAGTACGGTTTGCCACTGGAAAAATATGATTGTTCCCAAGTATTGGATCGAACTGGGATGATTTCCATCCCCAAGAAACTCTTCAAAGGCAACCCAGAAAGGCCTTATTAGACTTCCATGAGGCAAATAGAGGATGGAATGGAGGTGTTCAATTTTTCATAACTTCCTTTGGAATGGTGAGATTATGTTTCTCACAGGTGAAGCGGGAGCGAGTGCAATTAGGAATTAGGATGCTTTAGGAACAATATCAACCATGAAAGTTGAATCGCAATGAATCCCCATTTTTGACATGGCCCAAAGAAAGGGATCTTTGGAAGATCAAACCTGGACCACAAAACTTGAGGGTATAGCCTAGTGAATGGTTGATCTCTATCTCTCTATACGTATATATCCCGGCGGACCGGAAAGTGAGGTCGTGAAATACTGTGTTTTCAAAAAATCATCGTTTCGCCTAGGCGAAAACACAATTCAGCGATCACAAAAACTCTGAAATTCAGACGTCTGAATTTGGTGGTTTTTTAGATAAATGTGTATTTCGCCTAGGCGAAACGCAATTTCTGCTTCAAACAAGTTCAGGCATGCTCAGCTGTCCGCACCGTCATTTTTACATCTCTTGCAGTTTGGACACCGTGGCTTTCGCCAAGTTTTTGTACGTGTGGATGAATCTCCATTGCCACATCTTGCAATAAAGAATCAAGTCCGCACTCCGGGCATGCAAACTCTTTGGCACGATTTTTTTGCAGGACGTCCATCATCATCATCATCATCAGCGTAGCATCAAGAACCTCAGCAAGTTCACACGAACGTTAACATGCCCCACCCCACCCCATCATCAGCGTAGCATCAAGAACCTCAGCAAGTTCACACGAACGTTAACATGCCCCACCCCACCCCACCCCATCATCAGCGTAGCATCAAGAACCTCCGACTCGAAAAAGAAGCGTTTCGCGACCTCAGTTTTCGGTCCGTAGGCATATATACACCCTCTGGTAATGTACATGTTTTAAGGGATTCAATTATTTTGGGGTTGAACGGGGTTCAACCGGATTTCATAGCGATACAGCAGTGGGACTAATATAATGGAGGTTTTCCCTCTGGTAGCCCTCATTGCTGGGGGTGTGGTAAAATCCCCATGCTTCAACTGCCGCTGTGCGCCGTCCTGTCCCTCTTGGGTCACCGTGGCGTACTTCGCTCTCCGCACGCACCGCGGCGCGGCGTCGCAGCCGCCGCGCTTCGTCCAGGGCGTAGCGCAGAAGAGACGGCGGAGGGCGCAGGAGAGCACGATGCCGAGAGATCGACATGCGACCCTGGCATGGGAGGAACATGGGGAGATCACAACGGCGCTGATTTTTGGGTGTTCCTGGTGTTTATGAAGAACTTCAAGATGAGTTTCTGATGGTTTGTGGATTCTGTTGAGCGTAAAGGTGAGCTCAACCATCATTTTACATGATGGTTAAATATATATATATATTATATTATATTATATTATATTATATATTATATTATATTATATTATATATTATATTATATTATATTATATTATATTATATTATATATTATATTAAATATTATATATTATATTATATTATATATTATATATTATATATTATATATTATATATCATATATTATATATATTATATTATATTATATTATATTATATTATATTATATTATATTATATATATATTCTATCATATATATATAGATTGTATATATAAAAATATATATTATATTATATTACATTATATTACATTATATTATATTACATTATCTATATATATAATATATATAATGTGAAGCTTAAGTCCCTTATGTTTGATGGCAAGCTCCCCCACCTTAGTTGCCCCCCCATCTGAGTTGCCTCTGATTTTGATGGCTAAAGCCGTGGCCAGCGGACGACCGGCCCATCAGGAGCAGATCGAAAGTGCCAAGCTTAGATACTCTGCATGTGACCTTTTGCTGGTGAATATATATGGTTAATATATGGTTATTATCTGGTTAATGATCTTGAATAATGTGGGTTTGCTGGTGAATGATGGTTAATAATCCATTAAATAAACTGCTTGGTGGGTTAATATACCTGGTTAATAATGGTTCATATTAATGGTTATTATATGGTTAATGATGGTTAATAATATCTGGTTGGTGGTTGAGCCCTACCCCTCTGAAAAATATGATTTCGTCAGTTGGGATGAAAAAAATCCCAATAGATGGAAAGTTATAAAATTCATGTTCCAAACCACCAACCAGTACCTTACTACCCATTGATTCAAGTATATGAAAGTACCATGAGTACGTACAGTACCGATCCAAGGATATCCTTCAGTCGGTAGATGGCTCTGAAAATGGGTAGTACTAGTAGACTCTGATGGCCAAATTCAGATGGCTCATGATGCCAAATCATCAAATGTTTGGTGGTGCATAATTACCCTATTTTCAGACAACCCCATGTAGTCAATGGAGCAGTCCAAAAATGGTGAGAAGACCCTCTCCCGAAATGTGATGGCTTGCATTGGCTTGTATAGCACTTGAAAGCACTAAAAGCTTTTCCTCTGATTGGTAATACACTCGAAAAATTATCTCAGTTTCGCTGCTGTATCCACCTGCGGTTGTTGCTAGCACCCTCCCCATATACCAGCTGTGACCGGGTCATGTTCGAGTATCGAAAGTTGCTGGATTTCCCGGACGATCCTTCTTATCAAACCAGTGACAAGAGGAGTTCTTGTTGAGCGTGCAGGACTCCTTTGGAACAAGTGGGTGTCCAGATTTGGTGTTAGAAGGTGTATTGTTCAGTATTTTCGAGCCACACACAAGTGAAATGAAAATCCAAACGTGTCCAGCTTGCACTTGTTCCAATACCCAAAAGCCATTTCAAAAGGGCAGCAGTTCGACTTGCTATAGCCATGGTTCTGGAAAGCTGGAGCCTTGGAAATCATGCCAGGGAGGTAGAATCCTACTTGCGATACATTAATAAATCATAGGCAACCCCTGAAATGCCAAAATCAACGACTTTTAGTGGTCAACTTTCGATAGCAAGAAGGTCGTGAATCAACCTGCAAGAAGGGCCCCCCAGTTATAAGTCAGTGGACAAAAAAAAATCCAACTACAAATATAGATATCATATCTCGACCACAAGTCCCAATTTGACTTAGAACTGCGGTCACTATATCTGCAGGGACCCCTTTTGGCCCAAGAGTTGACTATGCCCTTGGTATCCCCCATGCTTGGCAGATTCCCATCATTCCCTGATCGTCTTAATGATGTGTGTTAAATCACACTTATGGCCCAACTAAGAGTTGCAAATGGCAACTGTAATGATATATAACCGTAGATATAAGAGTTATATATTTCCATTATCAAATATGAACATAAGGCCGTTTATATTCGTAGATAAGGATATCCAATGGTTATATTCCAGTTATGGCCATTTATATTAGTTAATCCTTATTTCCTTAATGGCCATAGCTGTACGATGTTTCAATATAACGCAGGGCCTCGCCGTGTTCGTTCAATTCCCATGTGGTTTCCCTTCACCAGTGCCGTCTTTTCGCAACGTTGGATGAGGTCCGCCCCTCTGCGCGATGGATCTCGGGATGAGACTGGAGAAGCACCATTGTTATATATAATATTATATATATATGTAATATGATGTAATCACAAAAAAAAATCACTTTGCTATATTATGCAATTATCATGCTATGTTGTTTCTTGTTGGTTGCTTGAAAGCTAGATAATCTCACTAGTAACATTAATGCTGGAAACCTGTACCCCCAGTTGATCCGAAAAGGTACTGGTTGGTGGTTGAGCCCTACCCCTCTGAAAAATGATGGAGTTCGTCAGTTGGGATCACTATTCCCAAAATATGGAAAGTTATCAAATTCCATGGTTCCAAACCACCAACCAGGGTACAAGATGCTACAAGCATGTATCCAGAGGTCAAACAGTGATATATGCTAGTGTTAAAATATCTGGAATCTGCAAGGTGGTTTCACCGTGTTTCACCCAATTTTCTTGGGTTGTTAAGCCCCATTCACGATAGATCTACCATCAGACCCGGGAGTTCAATGATGGGTACATCTTCCCGACAAGTTGTCTATTGTGTTGGTGCTAAAAAAACATGGGTTTCCTGTATATTTGCAGACCTTTGAACCGATCCATTGGCGCCAACATGTTTTTTGTCCTTCATGGATACATCTGGCAAGCCGATTCTCAGCAGATGGGTGGAACCGAAACCATCGAAACTGTGTTCGAGTTCCATCTCTGATCTCTTGCCGCCGAACGGTGATCCCGCGAGGAAAAGAATTTCAGGTGTCACTCACTGTCGTTCCAACAATTCAACAATGAATCCGTTGCTGGATCCTTCATCCCCCATGCTGCAGTCGTGCGGAGCAGCAATTGGCGCCAGCCTCTTTGTGGGCACAGCGCGACCATCGCCGGGTGACTTTCTCTGTGCGTTCCATGTAGGGCCATTTAGGATCTACCTGAAATGTACCCCATGAACCCAAGCTGCCCAAACCGTGGTGGTTGAGAACCTCCGAGATGGAAAACGATGAGAAATCTCCTCGATTTAGGGGCAGAGTTCTCATAGACTTGCTGAAGCAAATCTTGAAACGAAAAAATTCAGCAGAAATGAAGGTTGAGTTCTTGTCTAAAGTCCCGTTGAAGTGGATTAAACTACAGTTCTCTAATGAATCGTTTATAAACCATAGTATGTCACACTACCATCAACCAGTGGCAACCAGGCCTCAGAAGGTCGTTAACCCCTGGGGATCGAAATCTTTTGACCCCCAGTCATGGTGGACCTTTCGTTGGAAAGTAAGAAATCATGACCTCAGCACCAGGCAAATGTCTTACCCTCTGGTAAATTAACATAGACCCTGAAAATCACCAATTTATAGTGGAAACTAGTCTTCCAACCCCTATTTGGCAGGGTAATATCATATGTTCATGACCCTGTCTCGGCATCGCCATGTCTAAGAGTCTTGTCCCTACATGTTGGTTTATTTGGTTTTTCGTGTGTTCCTTCAAAATCGACAATGCGAAAACGTGGGAAATGGGCTTCCTGATGGGAAAGTTTCAGCGTGACACCTGGATGAAGAAACTGGATAGGCCATCAGGTAACAACTGGTGCCCAAAGACCACCAAAATTTGATGGGGGGTTCTCAGAAAATGCTGTTCTCGGCCATGGGAATGACGCTTGAAATTTGGCCTGGCAATGGTCTGGTCTGTACACTTTCTTGGCATACCAAGAGATCGCTACAGCACTCACGCAGTGATTTTAGGTGCCAAAATGAACATCAAACAATCTCTGTCCAGCCATGAACCTGGCAGAAAAGAAGTCCCATGACGTCCTAGACCAAATGGCATGTCTGAAGTACAAGTGTCTGGTGATGAAGATGAGGAAGCCAACATCCATCTATAACAACTTCACATCCTTTACACACTCCAAAAACATCGACATCATGTTTGTGTACTATGACAAGGGGCACTCAAAATTGGGTACCCTAAAATCCCATCATGGCATTTTCCGGCCTCAAAGTGACGTCATTTCAAAGATATACCCCTGTCAAACACACCCATATGAGCGATCGGCAAAACCTCAATTGAAAAATGCGATCTCGGGTCAAAGTTATCGTTTTTGGGACTTCACTATATCGTTTTACAGTATATCCTGATTGCATCATTTGCATCCCCTGGCAAACTGCGTGCGGAAAGCCTTTTTACACCTCCACTTCAGCGTCTGAAGCATGTTGGAAGAAGTCTGGATGAGCTCTCACAGCGACATGTTCCATGCCTTTCATTCATTCCCCATCGTCTGGGTAGCAAACCATCACCATGGTCCAATGCTTTTGCCTTGGCTATCTTCATCTAGGAGAAAGATCGCCAAACCGGACCTGCAGGCGCAGGTGTGCCGGTGTGCCCGAGATGAACCAGGATTGACTAAAGCAATGGGGCACCGCAAAAGAATATGCATAGCAGCGAAAAGATCGCAATAAGCAAGTGATAATATTCAACGGCAAAGAATCATCTCAAGAATCTTGTCGCATCTGGGCCGTCCATCAGCGAAGGACATTTTGTCAAGAAATGGTTATCGTTTAGTTATCGTTTTCGTTATCGTTCAAAGAGGGAAACATTTTTGGAAAATGGCATGAACCAAGGAATGTTGGAAAGGAGGCCTGTTGTCATCGTCAATGCTTGCATGAAAGCGGGAGAATACAAAACACTCATCCGGAAGGCTTGAACAATGGCGAGACAAAAAGAGCATCCAAATCCAGCTAGTTACCACATACTGTAGGAATACGTGCTTGGATACAAAACTGTTTACAATAATCAGAAATAAAGAAATTGGCCAGGATCAAGAGTGTCAGCATACTTTTGCACATCTTCCGTTGTGTGAGCTGGTCATGACGTATACCCCACAACTGAGAGCCTAGATGATCTAGATGCTTCTAGAACATGTGTCCACCATCATGTCATGTACACCACCCCTTCACTTCCCACAATGCTTTTACATATAATATGATTCCCAGGTTATCGCTTTTGGGACTTCACTATATCGTTTTACCTATCAAGATGCATATTTTTACATACGAGAGCGCTCGAATACATACCTCCTACACGGAGAGTTTAGCCTCTTGCTCATATGGATCCCGGGCGATGTCCTTTTCCAGTGGTGGCTTCATAGTAAGCTTCGTAACCTTCGTAACCTTCCCTTTTTCATGACCAAAAAGTTTATGACCATCCCCAAAACGTGACATCCACATGGGTGTGCCTCAAAAAGTGGGAAACCTTCCATAACTTTTGGGGGATGGTGAAAATCACGATGAAAACATCTATGAACCATCAAATTTGGCTGGTTGGTGGTATACCTACCCCTCTGAAAACTATGAAGGTCAGTTGGGATTATTGTTCCCAATATATGGAAAAATAAAAAATAAGTTCCAAACCACCAACCAGAACATCTATTAACCATCAAATGTGGTGTATATCTTCAAAGAAACAAATGCACACGAACGCCCTATCTCGGGGACTTGGGCGGCCTGGTCGGCACGAAAAGATTGGGGCTTTCAATTCTAAGTCATGATCCAATTTTGGAATACCCTCTGGTAATTTAACGTAGCTATTGAAAATGGCCATAGAAATAGTGAGTTTTCCCATTGAAAATGGTGATTTTCCATAGCTATGTTAGTTTACCAGAGGGTACTCCCAATGACTTAGGAAATTAGAAAACCCCCATTGGCCCTCCATAGTTTGTTTCTTATATCGACTTCACGTGTTGCCGTAGAATGTCTGCTCCAAAACCACTTCGAGAGCTGAAGACACGCAGGGCGCGGCTTCCTGCCGGGGCGACGAGTCTTTCTCTCATCCGGCATGGGTCATCCTCAAAGTGAGGTTGAAGATAGCATATATATCTATATATATATGTGTGTGTGTATGTATATATATATATATGTATATACGTGTATATATATATGTGTGTGTATAAATACGTATATATATATATACATATATATATATATATGTGTGTGTGTGTGTGCGTGTGCGTATGTGTATGTGTGTGTGTGTATGTGTGTGTGTGTGTGTTTTATGTATGAAATACTATGAAATACTTAAAACATCTGAAAACGAACTTTCACGTAGTTGGGAACCCCAATTGGCAGCTCCTTGGCTCCCATGCAAAATAAGAGAAGATAACCATAGCTTCTAAACACTCCCCTCTAACCACTGGATAGCAAATCTTACAGGTTGCTGAAGTTTCTGGTTCCAAAAGCTTTGGTTGTGGCTTGACACATCCCAGAGAGCCCCTGACGCTTCCCTTTATTTTTGGAAGCCGACGCTGTGCACGTCCGCAGAAAACACCACACCTCCGTGTCTTGTTCAACACCGCCGCTCGTACAACAAGCGGTTTTCGGTTGAACTTGATGCGGCTTTTCGGCAGCGTGCTGGGATGAAAGCTTCGGTACAGGCATCACCCACGTGTTTTTCCGGAGGTTTCTTATTTTTTTCCAGCACTAGTGTTGTTGCATGTTGTTCATATCGAATGTGGGTGGAATGGCTCCATACCGATCTTTTCTCGTGAGCTTTCCCTTTGGTCTTCCATTGACCGCAATCCGTCTCCATTGAGCTTTGACTAAGTTAAAGATGACTGAAATGTCACGGAAGGGAAAGGGAATGTATATGTATATACAGTAAATGATCATGCATTTCAAAAGCAAGGCAACTGCCCCCGGGGCAAACGCCAGCAAAAAAATGGGTGCGTTTGCGACTGCGACAGCAACTTAATTGCACGACAATCTTCAGTTTGACATGTATAGAATTCTCTCCAAAATAAATTGTGCTGTACTTGGTCACGATTTCAACCATGTGTCAAAGTGGGTCCAAAGCGGATGTGTCGTTTAATGTGTTTAGATTGTTCTTTTGTCCTTGACTTTTGATGAGTTTGTTAATGTTTCAGTGGTCACATCGACCTGTTAATCTTTACAAATCACTCTGACAGCGTGCTGCTGCTCCCCCGAAACGGCCAACTCTCGGACGCGATCTTTTGCAAGGACCTGGCGTTGACCCCTTATGAAAGGGTGTCAAATTTTGAAGTGTGGATCCAAAAAAACAACCCATGGGGCAGTCCAACGGCTGGAATTCAAACCACCGGGCCAGGCCCCAAACTACCAGTCGATCATTGAAAAAACTGGTCGACTCTACTGGAGAGCTGAGAATTTTTGACCCATCTCGAATATGAAGAACCATAGCGAATACAGGTACGTACGCGTCCAAGAACGTGAACGCATGATGTTTCAGCCTCTTCCCAAGGATATCTCCGAAACGGGATAGACTTGGGATGGGGATGCGACTTCACGGCCAACAAAGGTCTAACCCAGGAAAGGCAGGTAGTTTATAACCCATCAATCTATGAATATGTTCCAGGTCTATCCGTCTACTTGGACAAACTACAGCAATTTACCAACCTGAAATAAAGTCATTTGGGCATGATTCCCCACATACTGACCACTATTCCAGTGATGTCACAATGAGGTCGATATGATTTATTCAGATCTATGAGGTGGTCAATACCTATGGATACCTATGGAACCGTTTTTGGGGGCACACATTCATCACTTTGTCCAGCATGCTACCGGTGTTTCGATCGATACACATCATGGAGATGAGTCAAAAACATCAACCCACCAAATTAATATGTTAATAGTTCTATTCTATACCAAAGATGAGGAATGGTGTGTTTCTGTTCACTCCAATTCGACCCATATCCATATGACCGAGTTGAAAATTTGGGATTTCACACACTTATGATCCCCAAAACCATTGGTTTGTACACCAAAATTAAGAAGTTTAGAAAATTTTGGGGTTTACCAGTTTAAGAAACCCTCAAATGGTTGTGTCAAATGGGATATAAATAACAATGTACTAGGATTGTTTTTATGGGAAAAAATGACCTACTCATGCTCCCATTGACCTACTAATTGCCCTGATTTGTGATTTTCAGTCCGCATGTAAACAACCAAGTAAATCCAAAAGCCTCATGGCACCGAAGAAGGCTCGCTTCTCCTCCGTTGTCGGCTAGTACATGTGAGAACGCGTTGTCCAAGACCCCAATGATTGGACCCATATGGTATTTTTTTGCTGAAATTGTACTGATCTGATGTGCATATTTTGGGTTGTATCATATTTTTTGTTTATGACTACATTATATAAAACATTAGTTATTTGCATTTTTGTTACATTGTGTTTTGTTTTTTAGTATTGAAACGCGTTGGATTACATTACTTTGTATGATATTAAATCTTGTTAAACTATACTGCCTGTTGTCCCTATGATTGGTTTTATATATAATATTCTGCGAAGTTAAATATCAACCACAATTGACCAACATGCAGCTCCAGCTCAAAACCGCGCTCCTTCTGGCGCCTTTGTTTCTCACCTTTTGGGCACAAGTGGCAGAACCTCATTTCGCTGCGGGTAGTGGACCAATGAAGTTCACGTGTAAGATGCGAAATCGACAATATTTGGAACATTTCATTAGATTGGCAACGGAGGATCTACCATGCCAGAAGCATGTGGGGAAAGACCCTACAATTGTACGTTATAGAACATCCGGTTTGGAGAATCTGTGTGGTGGTTTGAATGCACGATTCACCCTAAACATGGGATTTAAACAACAAAATATGTATTATAGTGATATTTAGCAGGGCGTGTTGCCAGATACTTCGGTCCCCCTATTTGGACCAAGAGCGATAGTAGGGCTGAAGAAGTGCTAGCGTTGGGGGGCTTCTTTATCCCAAATTTATGGAAGTTATCACCAGTGGCTATAATATGTTATATCATATATAATAACCCAACTTACGTAACAACCAACTAGATGGAATTCCAATGTGGTTTATAACCACGAACTAATATGCTATATATTCCATAGTCATTCCCATAGGCATACCCCCAACTGCACCAAGTTCTGGTGCCCCACGACATCGAGAAACTCGCAATCTCTGCCACTGGAACAACCCTTGGTGTGGAAGAACGCGCACGGCTTGCACCTGCGGTGCCCCTTGTGGAAGCTTACAGCTTGCTGTTTTATAGGCACAACAGAACAACACAATCGCAACAACCATGAAAATTGGGATGTTTGTTGATGTTTCATTGTAGCTTTCATAGGGAAATGAGGTGTCTCACCGATTTCTCAATGGATTGTGTAATATTTTTTTGGGGATTCCACCTGTCATGATGCGCCAAGCGCCCTTATAGGTATGCATTCATGGAGTTACCAAACAGGAGGGGATTGAATTATCAAACATGAGGGCCATGAGGGGTCGAAACTGTAATTGAATTGAACAATCTATAATTATCTCTAATGGATTCTAATGGAAGATTGTATTGAATTATCTACAATTCCTGTAGTTCAATATTCAGTTCTAATGATTCTAATGGAAGATTCCTGTATATAACAATATTCAATCTATAAAGATGGAAGATAAGAGTTTCCTGTATCACAGATCCCGTCATGTCATGACTATCGCCATCAGCTCTCTATTGGATAGTTCTATAGGTCTACCCCATGAAAGTTGACAAAAAGGCAATACCAGCTGCTTTTATTGGGAAATCTTGTTCATCTGACTCTAAGCAAATCATTGGCACTACCATTTACTAGCCAGAAATAGTTGCGGTAAACATGTTCTGAAGTAAGCATTTACACCAGTCAAACTAACCACTGTTGAAAGGTACATTTACTATAGCCATTTACTCATCAATGACTAACCATTTATTACCTAATGGTCATTTGATTCACCAGAAATCTTCACCAACCTTACTTCAAACCACCCTGCCACCAAGTAGCTGCCGAAGGTCATGGCCATCAGAGCCCATCGAATAGTTCTCCTTGAACCAGCAGCCACCCGCGGGGGGAAACGCCAGGAAAGCCTAGCTTTTTGTTCCATCATAGCAGCATATCTAGAGTCATTCTTTTGAGTGTTTTTTTCATGTTTATGATAACAATCTGACCGTTAGAATATCTTAGAATGGAGCTTGAATCAATGGTATAGTCTGGCAAATTTCTCAATGGTGATGGTCAGGATGAAAGTCCAGACAGGCTACTCAGTAGGCTGTGCATGCCAGTACGTGACCCAATTCCAACCCAGATATATAGTATGTTAACATGTACATTGCACATAATGCATATATATATTATATCATATTATATTATATCATATCATATTATATTATATTATATTATATCATGTTATATTATACTATATTATACTATATTATATTATAATATATTATATTCTATTGCATTGTATTATATTGTATTGCATTATATATTATATTGTCATATATTATCATATCGTATATTATATTACATTATATTAAATATATATTGTATTGTATCGTATTATAATGATACTATATTATATCATATTTTATTAAAAAGTATATCATAGTATATTATATATTTAATTATATCATATCATATTATAGTATATTTTCTTATATTATATATTATGTATTATATATATCATATTAAATTATATATATATATTACATATTATATATTATATGTTATATATATTATATATATACATATTAAATATATTTTTATTGGATATTATTTATTATATATATATATATTATATATTGTATATTATATATTATATAATTATATATTATATCTTAAATATTATATATTATATCTTAAATATTATATATTATATCTAAAATATTATATATTATATATTATATATTATATATTATATATTATATATTTTATATTATATTGCCTATTCCAAGTTTGGCATCCAGTCATATATCATTATATCCCCGAGGATTTCCCCATTCATTCCTCCATTGATTCTGCATGAAATATCCCTATGATTTCCCTATCATATCCTCCATTGATTCTCCTATATACCAATTTCAGTCAGCCGGAATTATTATTCCCAATATATGGAAAATACTGTAAAATTCACGTTCCAAACCACCAACCAGCTAGTTTTAATAGGAAAAACATTTATAAATGGGCAATTTTCCATTTCCATCCATTTTCCATTTTCCAAACCACCAACCAGCCATTAGTATTTTCCCTCTGGTAATTTAACATAACTATGGAAAATCACCATGTTTCATGGGAAAATCCATCTATAAATTGCCGTTTTCAACAGCTATGTTAGTTTACCAGAGGGTATCCAACCATGGTTCATAGGTATTAATGGTGATTAATGGTTCCAAACCACCAACCAGCCATTAGTATTGACCCATTTTACCATAGAAAACTCCAGAGAACGTCCCGCTGAGCTTCCCCCGCTCGCTCTTCCAGCGGCACCGAGACGGTCAAGGCCGTTTCCAGGCGCAGCACGGGAAGCTCGACCTGGAGAAATGCTGGGATTTTCATGGGAAAAAACGTGGAAAAATGAGGAAAACCATGGAGAAACACGTGGAAACATAGGGGAAACATGGGGAAAAATTTGGAAAGAAGAGGAAAAAGATGGAAAACATGGGGAAATTTGGAAAAACAAATTGGAAACATGCCGGGTGAATGGGGGATTTACTTTTGGGAATGTAAAATAGAATATATAATATAATATATATCATATAATATAATATCATGGAGATGTCGAAATATCAATTGCTGGAACTGTAGCTTAAATTTTCCATGGGCCAATAGGGGATTTACGATCGTTGTACCAGTTGACGCCCTGAATCCAATGAATCTAGTGGATATCTAGTGGAGTGAATGGGGGATTTTCATGGCTAATTTAGATAGCATATATATGGAATCCAAACAGAATGCTCGTATGAAAATGGATTGTTTTATGACTTAGAATCAGTTCTAGACTTATAATCCAAAGTTGTAAACCCTTTCCGGATAAAGTATGTTAATTCACCAACCTGAAAGTTTTAGCCCACTTCTCCCACATTCTCTATCGGATACTCAGCATTCTCCATCATTTCACGTGATGTTTCCATATGTTTGCCCTCACATTCACCTGAAAATTCGACGTCGCGACATATCAACATTCTCATCATTCTCAATCCCAGACTGTGCGATCACTCGACATTCTCAAGCCCTTTTTTGAATCCTTGAATCAAAGTTCTCAACTGAATCCCTTGCAGAGTCTCTTCCGCCAGTCGCTTCCGAACCCCCGCCTTACCGCCACGCACTGGTACCGAGCTGGTGTCGACCTTAGTGCTTGGCGCACCGACGGCGCGAGGACGGTAAGGACTGGATTGGGATTCAATGGAGATCATGGGGATATACCACAAATTGGTTCAGTAAACCTCTAGGGATAGAAGGGGAAAATATCTATACAATTCTATGAATATTTCATTATATCTGTAGTCCAACCATATGATTTTTGGGTGCGTCTGAAAATGGGCACCCCCAAAAAAAAAAAACATGAGGAAAATTCAGGAGAATGAGAATAAGGCATCAAACTTGGGACAGCAATTGCAAGCTGGTTTATATACAGGCACTGCAGGTTCCTTGTAACTCAACTGATTTGGATAAGACGGTGAGCTTTTAGGGTAAACCCAATGCCAGAAACCCTGTTTGGGGTATGGCTGCACTGTAACAGCACCAATATCCAAAAACGGTGACAACTTTGGGGTTCATAGAATAATCTTTGTTGCTTGGGTCTCTCACATAACCCTGTCTTACATTTGCAAACGTGCCCAGTTGATATTTCATGAAATGGATACCCTCTGGTAAACTAACATAGCTATTGAACATGGCCATTTATAGTGGATGTTCCCATGAAAAATGGAGATTTTCCATAGTTATGTGAACGTTTACCAGAGGGTAAACCCTATCAAAATGCCGAAGAAATTCTGAAGCATTGTTTCCTCTACTGTAATTCAGTCAGATCATGGCAGCATGGGTATTTTGCCCACATGAAACAGCAACTGCCTGGGAACCTGTAAGAAAAATTGCCCAAACCAACTGGGGAACAGAAGTTCCAGAGGTCAAATGTGAACCATCGAACCCAAAAAGAACCATGGAGAAATCCATCAAATCTATATCCCATAGGTTTTCCCATCAGCGCACGTCAAGCAAGGATGGGATTCAACCGAGGCCCCCGTTGGTCCCTGTTTTTGCCATGGCAGAATCCAATCGGATGCAATTCATTGGACGCATCTGTCACCCATAAAAATGGACAGACATCCATTGATCCGTTGCAAAATCCATCCAAATCGATCGAAAAACTATTGATACTCGAGTGAAATCCATTGAAAATCGAGTGAAATCCATTAAAACCCACAATTCTCGTAGCAATAATCAGGGTTGCTCCCAAGACCCCACTTCTGGCGGCTATCATTTACCACTTGGGGGTGCAATTCCAGTTGCAAGTGGATAACCGTAGTTATAAGTATTATATCCCAACACATGGTGCTTTAAATCCCATCATTATACCCACATAAAACAACAACAACTACAACTACAACTGCATCCCCGAAGTAGGGTAAATTCCATGGTAAATTCCATGACATTTTTCCATGATAATTCCCCCTTCTTCCTCGACCACCGGGTTTCCCGGGCCGTGCTGCACTCTGACTTGACTTCCACGTGCCGTTCCACCTGGTGTTTCACGTCGCAAACTGGAAATTCCATGATTTTTCAGAGGTCAATCATCATGTTTATCATCTATAAATGGACCATTGTCCATGGCTATGTCGAAAAAAATCAGAGGGTAAGTGGCGAATGGTAAATCATCAGTTCACTCGTCCAACTCAAGCATTTTCATCCATGAACCCATAGCTATGGTAAATGACCAGAGGGCATCTTTCCCTCTGGAAAAAATTCATTCAACTATGGCCTTAATTCGGTTTAATCTGCAAACATATCTGAATTCATCCGAGACAAATTGGATTGGTGTGTAGATTTAACCGACCCAAGATGTTGGTTTAATCAGCCAAAAAATGGTTTACCGAGCAAATGATGTGATTCGACATAAAGAAAAGGAGTTTAACATGGTTTAACTTCATCTTTAACCTGCAAAAACTAAACATTTCAAGAGGCAAGAAATTGGATTTCACAGCATTTAACATAGAAAAATTGGGATTGTCCCAGCAACAAACACGTTGGATTTATGTATATAACCTGTTCCCTCATAAAGGCAAAGCGAAGTCAAGGATCGCTGGAAGGATCCCGCTGGCTGTCAAAGACAAGCGTGGCTGTTAATCAACCAAAAGGAGCTTTAGTCAACTGGTGATGACTAACATAGCCATGGTATAGCTGGCCCATAGAAATAGATGGTTTACCGAACTAAAAAATGAATATTTTCCATGGCTATGTTAAATAACCAGATAGTATATATATATATAGACTAATCCAACAAACTAAATTTGAAAATTATCAGTTACCAAACAATTCATTAACATATTCTGGTTGGTGGTGCAATAACCATTTTGAAAAATATGAAAGTCAATGGGAAGGATTGTCCCATATATCATGGAAAATAAAAAATGTTTGAAACCACCAACCAGTCAACATAATGATCTAGCAGATAAAACAACTATATGCTTCTCAATCCATACCCCGCCGTGTCAGTTTGTGAGTCTCTCTTCTTCCAACTATATGGGGGTCACCCAGCATAGTGACTGCTGACAATCAAGCATCAAAGGTGCTAGACTTCACATCCAGAAAAAAATAAGTGGCTGAGAAGGCCAGGAGTTAGATGTTGTCAGATGTTGTCAGAAGCTAAGTGTTAGGTAACCCAGGTATATAAGTTGGCAACACGAGAAATCGTCATTGGGAGTTCTGGGAGCAGGGTGAAATCACCCCATCTATGCCCGATTTCAAGCCGCTGAAAAAAGTTGAAAAAACCAGTGGTGGAAATATGGAAATATGGAAAAAAGTTGAAAAAACCAGTGGTTGATTTCAAGCCCAACCCCAAAACCAGTTCCAAACCAGTTCCAAAACCAGTAGTTCCAAAACCAGCTAACGACCCAGACAGGTTGATCGTAAAAATCGCCCCCCCCATGTTTGGATATCCCGGTTGTTTGGGCAAAACTCACGTTGTATAGCATTGTTTCTAGTATTTTCAAAGTTATAAAGTTGTAGTATGTTGTAGTATGTTGTAGTATGTTGTAGTATGTTGTAGTATGTTCTAGTTTTCCAATGTTGGAGCATGACTGCGGGCTTCCCCAACCATCATCTAGCATCATCTAGCTAGTTTTTTGATGATTGCATGGCCAATCAGGGTGATACCCTTTACCAAAGAACTTCACCACGTCTCCATCCCAAGGACCACAAAAAGCTCATCGAACAGCCAAAATGGCTGATGGATGTTGATTTAAAACCAGCCAAAAACATAGCCATGTCATTAATTAACATTATTTATCATATATTTACAAGCTATAATCTCTATATATCATTCATAAACTCAGTAACCATGATTTTCCGTATCATAAACCAATATAAACCATCACTAATTGGTGGTTTCAACCCTACCCCCCTGAAAAATGATGGAGTTCGTCAGATTGGAGAAAATCATCCCAGCTATTGGGGATCATTAACCACCAACCAGATCATCAACCATCATATATTTACAACCCATAAATCTATAATTCATAAACCATCATAAACCATCATTAACCATCATTAACCATCATTAACCATGGTTTTCCGTATCATAAACCATGATTTTCTGTATCATAAACCATCATCAACCATCATGAAGCCCAGTTCTACCGGCACAAAAAACCCACCGGATGGGCTCGTGGGACCCACCATGGATCACCATGGATCACCGGACGGCCTGAAGGTCGCCTTTCGCCTCGTCAGCCTTCACCTGGTCATGGGGAAAAGCCAAACATGGCTGGGTTTTTTCGTGAAAAATTCACGAACGTCCGATTTTTTTTGTTTTTTTTTTGAAATGGTTATATAAGTTATGTAATGTTATATATTGTTAAATATGGATCAAAATGACTGAGGGGGAAGTTCCACATCTTCACTTTCACTTGCGGATCAAGGTCCTAGCCTTTGCAATGCAAAATTCTCTGATTGTATACACAAGACTCACGTGCAGAGATCCGCACAAATCCACCAGACAAGCTAAAAACAACTGGGGTGAACTAATCCACAAGGAACCTCGGGTTTCTCCACCAAGTATAAAATGATCAAAAATTGCTGGGGAATGGGATTTTTTAATAGTGGAATTATGGTGGATTGTACAATTACCCTCTGGTAAATTAACATAGCTATGGAAAATCACCATTGTTTGTGGTAAAATCCACTATAAATTACCATTTTCAATAGCTATGTTAGTCATTACCAGAGGGTATGCCTCACAAAAATGTTGGAATTTCATCAAGAAATTTGGGAGCTCATCAGCCACAAAATCTGTGGGGTTGATCCCAAAAAAACACACTGGAATTGTTCATCAAAACGCCATGGCAACAAATTGTGGATTACTAAATTGTATGGAGGTGTCCTAAGTCATGGCTGGTATGGCAAAAAAATCATCCAAAATTATCCAATTTATTGGATCATGTTGGTATTTTTCAACCTATGGTAAAATGGGGATCTCCGATTTAAAAAAAAAAACAGAACCCCCTAGGACATGATGATTTTTGTTCATCGAACAGGACAAGACGTGGCCCAGATTACCAGGTTCAGCGGTGAAGTAAGACACCCTCCACTGGATAGTTCATAGAAAAGTATCTTCAGAAATTAGCAGTAAACTAACATAGCCATGGATTATGGCCAAATTTATAGATGGTTTACCTATTAACCATGGTTTTCTGTTCAATAGCTATGTAAACGTTAGAGGCTACAGTCCCTACAGATTCTGGTGGAAATCCCATCACTCGCCATTGTGCTTGGTTTTATACCCGTGGCTATACCATGTCTGTTGCTTTTTAAACCTTTTAAAACGAGAATTGCATCATCCCAATCAATCCAAACACCCATTAAAAGGAAAAAACATCAATCCAAACATCCGGAATATATGTATATATATATATGTGAAAATGCAATCCTCATCGTTGGTTGGTTGTATATCCCATGATATATCACCATGACTATCCCATGATCATGGGTTGGTTGTACCCATTGGCCATAATTATATCCCATCAAATTTGGTTGATTAGATATATCTGGTTGGTGGTTTGCACCCCTCTGAAAAATATGAAAGTCAGTTGGGATGATGACATTCCCAACTGAATGGAAAAATAAAATTCATGTTCCAAGCCACCATTCCCAGATATCCATGGTTTCTTTCCCATTGGGTTGTAATCATATCCCATGATCACATAGGCTGTTGCGTATGTCCCTTGCCACGCGCATCTCCCGCAACGCGCTTACCGGAACCTGGGAAGCCAAGGCCGCGGAGCGAGTGAGCTGCTCACCAGGCATATAGGGCATGCGCCTGTCGTTGGAATGGGAGACCCTGTACCTTAACGCTTTGCAAACTGGAAAATGGATGAAAATTTGGCACATTGAGTATCATTGAGTTCATTGATTTACCTAAAGATAGTGATTGTCCATTTCGCAAACTGTAAACGTTAAAACGTTTACCAGAGGGTAAAGCCGTGGGTTTTAAGGGGATGAATTGTGGAAGAATAGTGGGATGTCACCAAGCATGGGATTTTAACCCATTCATGAGAAGAGTGGGATAATCATGGGATTTACGCAACGGAGATTCATGGGAATTCATTGGATAATAATTGGATGCAATGGGATTAATGGTGCGCAAAAAGGTGCCCTCTCAGCGAAATGTGTTGCTTTAGAAATCCCACTATCGATACATCTAGACATAATAATCATGATATATAGATACAGATATAGTAGATAGACTTACCTACTTATTTACCACAGATCCTAGTGAACCTACTCATAAACCGACGCCGTGGGGCACCACACGACCAAGTGTTGTTGCTGCTGTGACCATGAAAATGCTAACGATAAAGACGAAGAGAAACGGGATACAACCGTTAAGAAAATAGCTATGAAAAACCAACCATGAAAGTAGATCCTTTTCCGGGCATCATCTCCCAGAAAGAGTTTGTTTGGTTGTGTTCAAAGCCAATAAATCAGCAATCATCATAATATTGAACACAAACGAATAATCGAAAATATATACTCACCAAAAAAACATCATAAGTCATCATAAATCATCATACATCATCAATATGTACATAATATAATATACATATATATATATATACATATACTGGTGGTGGTTTCAACCCCTCTGAAAAATATGAAAGTCAGTTGTGATTATTATTCCCAACTGAATGGAAAAATAAAATTCATGTTCCAAACCACCAACCAGATATCCATGGTTGATTTCCCATTGACTTATATTCATATCCCATGATCACATCATCAAAATGTATATAATACAATATATATATATATGTGGTTGGTGGTTTCAACATCTTGAAAAACAATATTAGTCAGATTGGATCATCATCCCAACTATTGGGGAAAATAAAAAAAACTGTTCCAAACCCCCAACCAGATATATATTATATTAATATATATATATATATAACGGCTGGTTTCAACCATCTTGAAAAACAATATTAGTCAGATTGGATCATCATCCCAACTATTGGGGAAAATAAAATTCATGTTTGAAACCACCGACCAGTGTATATATATATTATATTGTATCATCTCAATTCAGAAAAATGAAGAAATGTGATCTCCAAGAATATGGTGAAATGGTGAACTCATCATTATGTATATTATATTATATTATATTATATTATATATATATATATATATTGAGAATGGCTAGACCCTCCTTCTCCCTCGCCTGGGCGCCAGCACATCTGCATCCTCGTCAATTCGGCTCCCTGGGCAGGAGAAGACCTGCCCACGGGGCCCACGATCTGCCGGGGCAGACTTTTTGGCCAAAAACATTGGGATTTCACTGGGGATTTCATGGAAAAAACATGGGATTCATAGGGATTTCATTGGGGATTTTACCCTCTGGTAATTTAACATAGCTATTGAAAATGGTGATTTATAGTGAGTTTTCCCACGAAAAATTGTGATTTTCCATAGCTACGTTAAATTACCAGGGGGTAATGGAAAATTCATTGGGATTTCATTGGGGAATTCATGGAAAATTCATGGAAAATTCATAGGATTTTCATGAGATTTCCGATGATCTAGTGGATCTAGTGGATCTAATTGGGAATTTCATGGGATTTTTGGGGGGTATCTGAAAATGAATGAACCTGAAGGGTGGTTAGTCATCTGGTGAATATACTGTTAATAATGGTTAATATATATATATACTGGTTGGTGGTTTTTACCATCCAATAACTATCCAATAACTATGTGGTTAATATACCTGGTTAATAATGGTTAATATCTGGAAATATATATATATGGTTAATGATCTTGAATAATGACTGGTTTATCAATGGTACTCTAATTGGTGGTTTCAACCTACCTACCCCAAAATCCATCGGAATCCATTGGATTCGGAATCCATTGGATAATCCGCAACGGTTCCTTGGGCAGGGCTATCCCCCAATCGACCAACGGGGAGACATCCCAGCCGGGGATTTCAGGATCTGAGGGATGATCAAAAAAAATGGACCAAGTGACCTGGTGGCTTTTGAAAGCAAAAAATGGACCTAAACTGAATACTATGACATTCACAGTTCGCCATGGAAAATAGCTGACCCTAATCGAAATAGATGGTGAACAAATGGGTTTACCGAACTAAAAAATGGGTGGATCTTTCCATGGCGAACTGTGAATGTCATAACCAGATGGTAAACTGGTTTTTAAAAAAAAACGTCAACCAACTTTTCTGGGTCCATGTGAATTCACCCACCAAAGCTAGGATTAATGATGGTTACCACTTAGCCCTCTATTGACTTACCCTAGGATTGAATTCGTTTCGATCCATGGTTTTCGATTCCCCAAAGATATCTCAGTCCAGGCTCCTCAATGATGTCACAAGTCGGGTATACCTCATATTGGCCATTTGGCCTAGGGGAACATGAGAACAGACCATGTGAGCCATTAAAGATACCCTGCCCTATCCCATCTCATGAAATACTCGTTGCTTGAAAACGGTTTCTCGACTAGCTATCATAATCCCATATAAATTTATTAGGTAGTATATGGTAGTATAAATTCAATTAACTCCCATTCTATCAATATCAATAAACCCACATTAAGTCCCTATATCAATAATCCCATAAACCCAGATATAACTCTCATGGCTCCAACGCTCCAACTGGGTCCCAATTTCTCTTAGGACCATCCCGTCTCCACCATGCCACGATCTGGGGATGGTAGACAGAACCCTCCCATATTGCATGGAAAAAAAATCCATCGCTTTTGACGGCCACAGTCCCATAAAATCCATAATAAAATCCATAAGGGTTAATCTATGGTTAATCTTATGGCTAATCTATGGTTAATCTATGGCTAATCTATGGTTTATCGTTAATCTATGGTTAATCTATGGTTAAAATCCATAAAGGGCCTTGCTGCAAACAAGCTTTTGATCCATATTTTGCGGACCGGACCTATTCACGACCTATTCATCCTGCTGAAGAGAATCCCAAAATAGAGCGCTTATAAATGGATTCCTAAGACTTCAAGATACTGTTGACGAATAACTCCCATTCTCTCGCTTGTCATGCCCATTGTAGCTTCTATTATGATATATATATATATATTAAAATCCGAGGGGCATGTTGATTTTTGCGCGAGATGTTTGAGACTTAATGATACTTGAGCGTCGGTCAACACCCAATGGGAAATTCAGGACCCTAAAATGGAGGCAGAGTACCATATTTGTGGCCATATGTTCTCAGAAACTTCGCCCTGAATAACATACATACGCCTGAACAAAAAGGTGCTAGGTGCCTCCAATCAATACAATCCTGGTTGGTGGTATACCTAACCCTCTGAATAATATGAGTTCGTCAGTTGGGATTTTTATTCCCAACTGAATGGAAAAATAATCCAAATGTTCCAAACCACGAACCAGTTATGGTATATACATATATATATACATATATATATATATGTGTTCCAGTTATATATTAGGCAGTTGTATAACCTATATACATATATATATATATAGAAAATAGGTGCTAGGTACCTCCAATCCGGTGAAGTGGCCACGGGACACATGGGACCCATGAACCATCCTGGATGGTGCCGCGGCGCCACGCCTGGCGTTCCTGAAAGAAATCCTCCAGCGAGGCTGGGCGACCAGTTTGAGCCTGCCAGGCGGAGTCCGTGGTTGGACTGCAGATCAAGGACCTCCAAGAAACATGTTTTGGGCTGTTTTGAGCGGTTGGTTGTTGGTTAATGGTTGGTTAATGGTGGTTAATTGTGGTTAATTGTGGTTAATGATGGTTAAAACACCCAATAATAGTGGTTGGTTGTTGGTTAATAGTGGTTCATGGTTACTGGTTACTTTGGAAACAAGGCCATTGTTTCTCGAGATTCAACCATCAACCCAGCGTTTTTCTTGGGATTTCCATGGGATAAGATCACCCAAGTGGATGTCGTTTAAAAAAGAACCTTCCCCAGTTACGATCATCCATGATCATTCCAAAAAGCAGTCGATGTAAGACATAGTATTTCTATGTACCTCCGTCCAAATACCCCCTGAAAATGATATAAATCCTGGCTAAAAAGACCGTTTTATCGGCACTTCTAGTAGTAGTTCTATATGATTCTATGTATTTCTTTCTTGACTATTTCAAAAGAACGATTCCCAAGGGTGAAGCTGCTACAAATCATCATCGATGATTATCGATGGCCTATGGATACCCATTCGTGATTGGGTCGGGTGAAGTTACTATGTCCCCATGGCAAAAGACTATACTGTATAATATAAGTTGTACTACACTTCCCATCACAGAATCCACTGATCAAAAACCACCCATTTTGATGGCTTAATCAGATCATGCTGATTCATGAGGCTTCTGGGTCGCTGAGAATTTTACGGCCGTCGAAATATCGAAGGGGATTCGAATGATTCGAATTTCGAAAAATAGTCTGAACTCGTGCATCTGAAGGAGGTGGCCAGAAATGTTCAGATTCAGAAATCTGGAGTCTGGAAGAGTCTGGAAGTGACTCTGGTCCATCCTCATAAGTTGCCCGGGATAAACATTCCCAGATCTCATGCCGCTCCCTGTCCCCGCAGGGAAAGCAGAGATCGACCCAAGATACAAATGACAACGATGATTCACAAGTGGTTTTAAGGGTCAGGGTACCCAATCTTCAAAGAACCCATAGATCATCATAATTCATCATATACCTGGATAGCTCATGATTCATTTGATAAATCCCAAAGCTGACTGAAGCCATGCCTGATCATTTACCCATAGCACCATTGATCGGGGCCCAGCCATGCCCCGTCTCAATTCTTCAAATCTTGGCCAGGAAAAGATCTTTTTCTCACCGCGACTCCTGGTTCCTCGCATGGCAGTCATCCCAGTCATCCCAGTCAAGTTTCGCTGACTTGTGGCACTTCATAAATACTGAAGTTGCTCTTGGACTGCGGAGCTGTCACCACCCCATGTTGGATTTCCCCAAGTAACCAGTGATCCATCCGCCAGCAGCGCGGTAAACGCAAAGCTTGTGGCCTGAATTTGCTGCACATTCCGCAGCCGATCTTTCACTGCGGAGCTGTCTCCGCCGCAGTCTGGGGCGCCCCAGGTTATGACAGAACCATCAGCCAGGAGAGCCGCAAATGCTCTCCGAGTGACCTGAATCTTCCTCAAGTTGATCAGATCCCCGGATTCTTTGGGGAACTTTAAGAGTGGCTTGGTAAATACTTTAAGTGACCCCCTTTTTTGAAGAAGAAATCCAGCTGGTTGGTGGTTTCAACATGCTTCAACCCAACTGATCATCCTCCCTAATGTAGTTGAAAAATGTTTGTTGAAGACAAAAAATGATTGAAACTGGCTACAATCCATCCCAGTGTCTGTACGTTCCTCAGCTGCCTCTGAACTGCCGAGCTGTCCCCACCGTGGCCCGGATCACCCCAGGCAACCACTGAGGCGTCAGCCAAAATGGCAGCAAATGCAAGACCTGTCGCCTGAATGTGCTGCACGTTCCTCAACTGATGTTGAACCCTAGAGCTGTCCCCACCAGAGGTTGGATCTCCCCAGGTAAGGACTGATCCATCAGCCGAAATGGCAGCAAAAGCAGCAAGTGTGGCCTGAATTTGCTGCACGTTGCAAAGTCCCTCCTGAACTGCAGAGCTGTCACCACCGTACTTTGGATCGCCCCAGGCAACGACTGATCCGTCAGCCAAGATGGCCGCAAATGCACCTCCATGAACACCACCTGAGGCCTGAACCTCCTGCACATTCTTGAGCTGATCTTGAACTGCGGAGCTGTCACCACCATAGCTTGGATCGCCCCAGGTTATGACAGAACCATCCGCCAAGACCGCGGCAAATGCCCGAGGCGTGGCCTGAAGTTTCTGAACATTCTTCAGGCGCTCTCGAACCGCACAGCTGTCACCACCAAAGCCTGGATAGCCCCAGGACACCACTGATCCATCTTCCAAAATGGCAGCAAATGCAGCCTCTGTAGCCTGAACGCTGTGCACGTTCTTGAGCCTATCTTGACCTGCAGAACTATCACCACCAAATGCTGGATTGCCCCATGACACGACTGATCCATCAGCCATGATGGCAGCAAATGCACGATCTGTGGCCTGAACTTCCTTCACAGTCCTGGGCTCATCTGGAAGGTTGTAGTCGCAGCAGTCTGGTGCACCCCAGGTAACGACTGATCCATCAGCCAAGATGGCGGCAAACGCGGCGCCTGCAGCCTGAACAAGCTTCACGTTCCTGGGCCGATCTCGAAGTGCGGAAATGTCACCACCACATGTTGGATTGCCCCATGTCACAATGCCGTCACCGCAGCACACCGCAAATGCGGTTCTTGTCCTTGCTACCCGTAGCTGTTGAACAACTGCAGTCAAGTTCTCCCCGTCTTGAATCCCTGCATTTTGCCTTAGAGTTGCTGTTGTCCCCAACGTATTTAAGAGGTTCTAAGCATTCATGTTTCCATTATATATGTGAAGAAAAATACGTATAGATCCATGAGCATACAAACATCATGTTTGGTAAATCCTGCCTGCAATACATATATATAATTATAATATATATATATATTGCAGGATTTACCAATATAGATAAAGAAATTTACTGCATTTCCACAAAAATGGAAACATGGGGCCTATATATCTCACCTTTCTGGAAAAAAACATGAAAAAACGATCTTCCCTAACAGTTCCCCATGGTGTTTTTCAAAACGACAAGCGCACCAAGCGTGTTTCTCCAGGTCGCAGGGAGTCCTCAGAGTTCGCCAGGACACGTCCTTCTGCTGTGGCAATCCTCAGGAATCCCTGTTTCAGCGATCGTTGCGCCAGAAGTTTCAAGTCACCAACGGTGGAATCCTCTGGCAGCAACAGAGTCGCACCGGAGCCGCTTGGTAACGACACTGTTACTTGAAGCATGGCGGAGTTTTTTTCGGAAGCAGAAGAACTTACTGGTTGGTGGTATACCTACCCCTCTGAAAAAAAATAGTCAGTTGGGATGATGACATTCCCATATATTATGGAAAGCCATAATCCATTCATGTTCCAAAGCACCAACCAGTGATACCATCATTAACCATCATTAACCATCATTAACCACTAACCATATTTAATAAATAAAAATTCCATGATTCCAAACCACCAACCAGAAAGACACTGAGCATTCTTGAGGATCCCGTGGCTTTCAACGTGGACATCTTGAGGGATCGTAAGTTACGCCCCCCAACACCAACGGTCACGGTCCTGCTCGGAACATGGAAAAAAAAAAACCTTCTTTGGGATTGTCCAGGACATTCTGAAGCCAATAACTATCAATAACTCCAGTAGATGGACAAAAACCTATAGAAACAAAGGTTTTTTCACAATCTATTGGTGGTTTCAACCCATCCTTCAAATCTGAGTCATCTCAAGCTTTGTCATCCCTTTTGTATGATTTCACAAGACATCATATCGACTCCGAAAATCCCATGTGACCGGTAAAGTAACCATTTGCGAACTGGAAAATCACCGTTTTTAATGGGAAAACTATGGAAAATCACCATTTTTATGGGAAAACTATGGAAAATCACCATTTTCAATGGGAAAACTATGGAAACTCACCCTTTTTAATAGGAAAACTATGGAAAATCACCATGCTATCAATGGGTAAATCCACTATTTCGACTGGGCCATTTTCAATAGCGAACTGTAACAGTCATTACCAGAGGGTAAATGAGACATTCATCAAATGGAGACAAATGATGGAATGTCCATTGCCATGTTTGATTGCTGTATATGACTGTGATTTCCAAAGTTGTTTGGGTAATTGTAAATTTCCTATTCCCGGGATGCACATCCCAATCATCCTGGTCATAGTGTTTGCACAAACATCTGTTTCATTTTTATACTAATGAGAAACCAGTATCTGGTTGGTGGTATACCTACCCCTTCCGAAAAATATGAAAGTCAGTTGGGATTATTAGTCCCAATATATGGAAAGTCATAATCCATTCATGTTCCAAACCACCAACCAGGTATATCTTATATTGCACAAACCTTAAAAAAAAAAAACTGCCGCAAAACGTGTCTGACAAAAACCAACCGTTCCAGTTAGGCGGTTAGACGGTTCGATCAGCGGTTCGATGGGTTTTCGATACCATGGTTTCAAGAAAATCACCAAAAACCATTAAGGTGTTCTACATATATCATATATCATATATCGTATATCATACATCATATATCATATATCTGGGTAAGTTATAATATTTCACTAATCTGAATTAAGGCCATTTGGGGATGATTCCTCTTATTAACTATGATTCCAGTGAGGGAGAACAGTGAGGTCGTTATAATTTACCCAGATATATCATATATCATATCATATCATATATTAATATTAATATTAATATAATATATATATATATCCCAAAAAATTGTTAGACTTTTGTTGCTTACAACCCTATGTTTGTCGTTGCATGTCGTTGCTTTATCTATCCACCAGTTGCCTTTGCCGCATGTCGTGGGTTGCTATAAAACAACATGGCCAGCACCAGATCCACCACACCAAATACCCGCATGGCTGACTACCCTGCAACCAAACACTGCAGTTGGGGATCTCAGAAGACACTTGGGGATGTGTCAAAACCCTGGTACCCCTGTAGTTCACATCAAAATAGCTGGGATTTATGGATGTTCATCCCATTAAAAATGGTATTAATAGATATTAATAGGTATTGATCCATAGCCAACTGAAGCTATTGGAAACATCGACCCAACATGACCCAACTATCGAATCTTCCATCAATGGCGAAAAAAACATATCCATTGAATCCATGATCAACCTATCGAAAAATACCATCCCTTAAATCACAACCATAGTTTCTTAAACCATTTAGGCTTCCCAAAAAAATGCTGTCCACCCATGATCAATTGGTTTCGAAGCTCATTTTCCATCAAAATCACCAAAATGATGCCGTTGCCACTGGATCTGATGGCTCTTAGAATCAACACGCTATGAATAGTTGGTATAAACTATGAATCATTCCCAAATAGGATGGTTTATTGATGTTTGTTAACCACATTTATTTCAAAGGGGATTATATATATATATAAATACATACATAAGAAATCATTCTTGAGATGGTTACCCTCTGGTGAACTAACAATTTGCCATGGAAAATCACCATGCTATTAATCTGCAGATAAATGGATAAATCAACTATTTTCTATGGCCATTTTCAATAGCTATGTAACAAATTACCAGAGGGTAAAGTTGCTATTTTTGGTGATACCCCCATGAGAAAAAAAACACGATGTATTTCTGGGTTCCAATCGTTGATGGTTCATCCAGGGTTTTCGTTGCCTAAATCACCATGTTTCAAGATTAATCCCTCAGTGTTCTTGGTTGAGTACCAGCTGTTGCAGGCTCAGTATCACCATATTGTTCATGGCCATTTATAGTTGATTTACCCATTAAAAATTGTGATTTTCCATAGTTATGTTAGTTTATCAGAGGGTAAATCCAGTTTCTTAGACTACGTGTGTTGCTCAGTTTCTTAGTTCAGAGCCCTTCACAACGTGGCCCTTCCCTGCCTCAATGAAGGTGTTGTGCACGAAGAGAGGCACGGGGTACTCGATCTCCGAGCCGACTCCTGCGGGAAATCCCCCGTCGAAAGTCCGATGGATTCCGATGGATCTCGAGAGCTCCAGTGCCAGGATTTTCCCACGATCCTTTCCCGCCACGTCGAACGAAAAACCTCGAAGTAGCCTCTGGCAAACATACAAAAAACGATGGAAAATCACCATGCTTAATGGGACAACTCACTATAAATGGCCATTTTCAATAGCGAACTGTAACAAATTACCAGAGGGTAAAACCTGGAAAAAACATCGAGACCAACATGACCAAAATGCCCCGTAGGCTTCGTTCACTTATCATCTCATCGGTGTGGATAGAGATGGGGCTTCTGCAATGATTTGGAGAACCAGGAACTTTCACCATGAAAATTCGAGATTTACCCTCTGGTTATTTAACATAGCCATGGTATAGCTGGCCCATTTATAGATGGTTTA